ACCACCAAAAGCAAGAAAGGAGTGGAGATTTGGTGGGGGGGAGGTGGGACAGCAACAGCAGAGCACAGCTACACAACTGGCAGTGAACGGGAACTTCGCCAAGACACCCTCCTTTCCCCAACATGTTGACCTGCCCTACACGCCCCCACTACATTCTCAACCACCCATGAGGACTAGAAATGTCACTTTGTGATGGGAGTGGTGGCATTTTATTAGGGAGGGGCCATGGCTTGGTGGTGGAGCATCTGTGTGGCCAGGTTCAATTCCTGGCATCCCCAGGTGAAAGGATTCAGACAGCAGGTGATGTGAAAGACCTGAGCTTAAGACCCTGGAGAGCCACTGCCAGTGTGAGTAGACAATACTGACCTCGAAGGTCTGATTCAGTATAAGGCAGCTTCATGTGTATATTCATCTAAAGACATGCATTCTCAAGAAATAATGGAATAAAGCCTAAAACAACAAAAAATTTAAATGCATTTTATCGAGATGAATACCATGACTTTTATTTTGCTAATGGCAGTACTTTTGTTTGGCGTTTTCTGCAACTAACATGTTTTGGCGGTCAGCTACTTGTCCCTAAGGAAAATCATACGAGATCCAACCAATGCTCTCTCTAAGCGGTGGACCCTTGTGAGCAAAAATTCTACTTTGTGAGCGACTGGCATTAAAGCTGTGAGCGAGCGATTTGGCTGCTGCATCAATGAGTTTGCTCTGGAGCCGTCCTTCCTGAGCTACGGCAAAAATGTGTGAGCTGTAGGCTAAAAAACTGTGAGCTACCTCACACTAAATCAGCTTAGAGGGAACACTGGATCCAACCCATTACCAGCACAAACCGTTAAGTATGATCTCGATCGCATTGCCACTCAGAAACCAGGGAGAGCGTTTTTGCACTGATCCTGACACACAGAATCCCAATGCGCGTGCAAACAATTCTGGAAACCCCAGCAGATTGGCACAGTCCTGTGAAATAAGATCATGGGATAAACTTGGGACACTTACCCAAACTCCTGGGGGACGTGTGGATTCTGCATGCCAGAGGATGGCGTTCCTCAGATGCTGAGCAGACGATGGCTGATCTAGCCAGGAGAGCCTTCTTCAGGAGAACTGTGTACAGAACAGACGCATGTCAGCCATGGCACAGTGACACACTGATTCCCCAATTCCAACCAACACATTCACAATGCTAGAGCAGTAAGTACCACCCATGTCAAGGTTAAGGAAAGGACTTTGGAAGAAAGCATACGAGGCCCTTAGGAAACAAGAACGTATAAAGTCTCATCCAGCGCAGATAACGTTTCGCATCCAGAGACTGAAAGCCAATACGCACCAGGAATTCGAATTCGCACCTGGAGGAGCACTACACTCAGGAAATAAGAACTTGCTGGTGGTCCCCGGCCTGAGAGAAGTCCGACTGTCCTTGACCAGGGCCAGCCAGGGCCTTCTCAGCCCTGGCCCCTGACTGGTGGAACGCTCTGCCGGAAGACATGCATGTTCTGTGGGAGCTGTTACCTTTCCGCAGGGCATGCAAGGCAGAGATGTTCTGCCGGGCCTTCGCTGGAGGACAGTGACAGGACTTCTTTTGGCACTCCCACAGAATTCCGCAGGGCCTGTAAGATGGAGCTCTTCCGCCAGGCTTTTGAGTAGGAGCCACCGCCACCATTCCATCGTCGTTACCCCCCATCATCGCACCTCGACCATCAATTGTGCGGGTATCAAATGGGGTGCGAGACGTCCCTGGATGAAGATGGGATGGCTGTGCTGCTAGGAGGTATGTCGTTGGTCTGGAATTAATAACATTTTCCAGAACCCCATCTTGCAACTAATGATTCTGTGACATCTAGAGCACCGACATTTTAGTGGTTTGTATTGTATTGTTTTACTCTGCTTTTATCTGTTTTAACTTTGGCACTCGTGCCTCTTTGTTAGCCGCCCTGAGCCTTCGGGGAGGGCGGGATATAAATCCAAAAATAAATAAATATAAATAAATAAATTCCCCATCCCTTATAACTCCTCCCCCCAGGATTTGTCCGCCATCTTATATATTGTATATACACTGCTTTTATCCACTAGCATGTATTGGACTGCTTAAGTTGGTTTTATATTGTGAATGTACGTTATCCTGTTGTAAGCTGTCCTGAGCCCTCCTTTAGGGAAGGGTAGCCTAGTCAATCCAAACAAACAAATAAATAAATAAATAAGTAAATAAATAAATAAAATTCAAGAAGGTGCAGTAGTGTCGTCTAAGGACCACCTGATATCAAAACACGAAACAGAAGTCCTTGGGTTTCCTTGTTCATACGTGAGTGAAACAGCCTACAAATTAAAGTGGGCGGGATTCTTATCAAAACTGACCCCCATCTCTGCAAAACAGAGAGTATTGGATGACTTCCGGACCCCACATTATTTGGAAGTGTTCCAAACTACCACACAGTATGCAATCCCACATTATTCCGTGTTGTACAAGGCAGGCAGGCACATATGCACGTCCAGTATTAAGGCTCCTTCGTGTATGCAGTAAGGGTAAGAATAATCTCTCTGCTGTTCAGAAGTGTAACACAAGGACACTTTGATTATCGTAACAATCACCACGGTAGTGGAATTGCAAACAGGCCATATCTTAATGCAGGATGTAACAAGCTGCAACACAAGATCCTCAACCTGCTAGTGGCAAGGTTAGTCAGACTGCATAATGAAGAAGAGTTGGTTTTTACACCCTGCTTTGTCTACTTTAAGGAGTCTCAAAGCAGCTTACGATCTCCTTCCCTTCCTATCCCCACGACAGGCACCTTGTGAGGCAGGTGGGGGCTGAGAGAGTTCTGAGGGAACGGTGACTGGCCCAAGGTCACCCAGCAGACTTCATGTGGAGGAAGAGCAGGGAATCAAAGTCGGCTCTCTCTCCAGATTGGAGTCCGCCACTCTACACCCCGCCGGCTCTCATGACTGCAGTGTGGCAATCCGGTTTACAAGCAGATGACTTTTGCATGCAGCTATAGTACAATTCCTCCTTGTCAAAGATTAGACATGCTCATAACTGGCTCCTGAAAGTCATCTGCTTGTCCTTTGCAAGGCGGCTCCCACAGGCATGTACTGCCCCTCTCCACACAAGGCTGCCTGTTGTCTGCACATGCACACACCCGCCAGATGACGCTTCGCATTCCCAATAGAGAAAAGCAATGTTCCCGCTAAGCTTTTGAGTCTTGTGAGCAGAAATCCTACTTTGTGAGCTACCGGCATTAAAATTGTGAGCAAGCAATTTGGCTCCTGCATCAATTAGTTTGCTCTGGAGCCATCCCTTCCTGAGCGAAGACAAAAATGTGTGAGCCGGAGGCTAAAAAACTGTGAGCTAGCTCACACTAACTCAGCTTAGAGGGGACACTGGAGAAAAGGGAAGGGGGAGGGAAACTGGCCTCTGCCCATGACAGGCAAGCACAACAGCCCTCCCCAAACATCCAACGGTAAAGCTGCAGTGTGTTCCCTGGCTTATACGTTAAACACACAAGAAATGGGGGGAAAGAAAGCCAAGGAGAAGGAATTCACAGAACCATTAAATGCAAAGCATCTACAATGAGAGAGAGAGAGAGTCTGTGCCTGATGTCCCAGCCCCAGAAGCCCAGGGATGACCTCTAGACTGGGAGGAGAGTAAGAGTCATCTTCAAAAGGACAACGCTGCCCCTCCACGTAGTAGTCAAGCCTTTGGCTCTAAATTAAATGAAGCTCCCACCTAGGAAGCAATGCTCCCTCCTCTAAGCTGTGGATTCTTGTGAGGAAAAATTCTGCTTTGTGAGCTACCAGCATTAAAGTTGTGAGCAAGCGATTTGGCTGCTGCATAAATTAGTTTGCTCTGGAGCCATCCCTTCCTGAGCTAAGACAAAAATGTGTGAGCCGGATGCTAAAAAACTGTGAGCTGGCTCACACTAACTCAGCGTAGAGGGAACACTGCTAGGAAGGCCCTCAAGGTGATATGGAAAGGAAGAGCTTCTCTATCCCACAGAAAATACAGTGGGGGAGGACCACAATAAGGACATCCTTTTTCATTTATTTAAAGAAATGGAACTGCTAAATGTGCGAACCCAGGTGCCGTGGCTACTCTCGGATACCAATGATCGTGTCACCCTCTCAGTGGCAAAATCCACAGGCGCAATAATCAAATATAAGAGAAATAATACTGAGTAAGGTCTTTTGAAATATTTTCTTTGGTTCTAATTAAGGTGGCTGCTTAAGGTGATAGCCGTATGAGCAGTACTAGATAGAGAGAGAGACATCCCTTTCCCCCACTCAAATACCCCTCCACGTCCATTAAAGCACTGTGTCCCCCAATAACGGGGGAAGGAGAGTGTGCATAAACACCAGGGCAAAGAGCCTTGAGGTGTCCTAAACACAAACATATGGGGCAGGGGGAGAGAGAGCAGGGCTTCCCTGGGTAAGAAACCGGTTTGGATCTGCTCACCCCATGCAGCATTTGGAAACACTATTAATTTAAATCATTTACACACCCGCCTCAGAACTGGAAAGGAGACCCAATAAAGAAACCCGGGCTGGAAAAGGGCAACAACACTGAAGACAATACAACAGTGAGAAGCTGAAAAGCCTTCGGGTGCCACAGAACTCTTGGTGGTGGTGGGGGGAACCTTGGCTGCAACTGCAATCTAATGCATAACAAGAAGAGAAGAGATTGGATTTATACCCCACCCTTCACTACCCAAGGGAGTCTCAGAGGGGCTTACAAACTCCTTTCTTTCCCCCTCTCCACCACAGACACCCTGTGAGCAGTGTTCCCTCTAAGCTGAGTTAGCGTGAGCTAGCTCACAGTTTTTTTAGCCTCCGGCTCACACATTTTTGTCTCAGCTCAGGAAGGATGGCTCCAGAGCAAACTAATCCATGCAGTAGCCAAATTGCTCACTCACAACTTTCATGCCAGTAGCTCACAAAGTAGAATTTTTGCTCACGAGACTCCTCAGCTTAGAGGGAACATTGCCTGTGAGGTGGGTGGGGCTGAGAGAGCTCTGACAGAAACTGCCCTTTTTCAAGAACAGCTCCGACAGAACTATGGCTTGCCCAAGGTCATCCAGCAGGCGCAAGTGGAAGAGTGGGGAATCAAACCCGGTTCTCCCAGATTAGAGTCCGCGCACTTAACCACTACACCAAACTTAACCATTAACCACTTAACCATTTGTGCTGGAAGCTGAAGCAGATAAAAGCCACCCTGCCCCAAGGAGCTCAAGATGGCACTCATGGCTTTCCCTGGGGTGGTGGTGGTGGAAAGTGCCGTCAAATCACAGCCGCCTTATGGTGACCCTGCAGGGTTTTCAAGGCAAGAGACTAACAGAGGCGATTTGCTCCCATCCACCAGGGCCGACCCCATTTAGCTTAGGGTTGCCAGCCTCCACGTGGGGCCTGGGGATCTCCCACTTTTACAACTGATCTCCAGCTGACAGAGATCAGCTCCCCTGGATATATACCCCGCCCTTCACTACCGAAAGGAGTCTCAGAGCGGCTGACAAACTCCTTTCCCTTCCCCTCCCCACAACAGACACCCTGTGAGGTCGGTGGGGCTGAGAGAGCTCTGACAGAAACGACTCTTTTTCAAGGACAGCTCTTATCAGAACTACGACTTGCCCAAGGTCATCCAGCAGCTGCAAGTGGAGGAGTGGGGAATCAAAACCGGTCCTCCCAGATTAGAGTCTGCGCACTCAACCACGACACCAAACAGGCTCTCTAACTAATAACTAAAAGAAAGAAACGTGCCCTGGACTGACACCACCACCACCCCTTCGAAACTGGCCTTGGGAAAGCTCCCATGCGCCATCAGAAAACACAAGGGAAATATAACGGACAGGGACTCTATCTGACTGCAGAGGAAAATTTCGGTTAACACAAAACGGGGGGGGGTCAGGAGGAATCATCCGCACTGAGGGCCCCCCCCCAATTCATCCCACCCTCCCTTAAGAAGAAAAGAAGAAGAGATTGGATTTATACCCCGCCCTTCACTACCCAAAGGAGTCTCAGAGCGGCTTACAAACTCCTTTCCCTTCCCCTCCCCACAACAGACACCCTGTGAGGTACGCGGGGCTGAGAGCGCTCTTGATGCTCTGACGGAAACTGCTCTTTTTCAAGGACAGCTCTGACAGAGCTTGTGACTGGCCCAAGGTCATCCAGCAGGTGCAAGTGGAGGAGTGGGGAATCAAACCCGGTTCTCCCAGATTAGAGTCCGCCTGCACTTAACCACTACACCAAAAAGAGCTCTGCCTCTACAAAGCGAGAGGGGGCACACTCCTCTCCTCTCCTCCCTCTCTCTCTCGAGGAGCCTCCTGGTCCCACCTTGCAGGGGTGGTGCGTGGGTGTACACGTGACTCACAAGGCGGGGGGGGCAGGCACCCTCCTCATGGAATCGTGTCCAACCCCCTTCACCCTCCCTTAGAGCTCTCCCTATGCAGAGCCAGACCTGCCCCCCCCCCGGTCCCACCTGGCCTTCGGCCGGGCCAGGAGGCGCTTCCGGTCGGTGCCTAGAGAGGCCCTCTGCGCCCGGCCGTTGCCCAGCCCCGGAGGAGGAGAGGAGCATGGCGGAGCTGGGCGGGGAGGCCGAGGCCGCGGAGCTGCAGCGCCTGGTGGCGGCCGAGGAGCAGCGGGCCCGATTCACCGCCCAGGTGGGACGGCGGAACCCCCCCCCCCCGCTTCTGTTTTTCAATTCTGTAGAGGAAAATGAATGTGATTTCAATCATCTTTCTCCCTTCACAACAACCCGGCGAGGTAGGCTAGGCCGAGAGGGGGGTGTGAGTGGCCCAAGGTCGCCCACCCAGTGAGCCTCGGTGGCAGAGAGCGGGATTCGAACCCGGGTCTCCTCCTCCCGTATCTTAGTCTGACACTCTCAGCGCTACCCCACGTCGGCTCTGACCGCCTTCCCCTCGCAGCCGAGGAAGGGGGCTCCGGCTCACCTGGGAATAGACGTGGGTAACCCTGGGGCGTGGTGCGGCCCCCGCTCCTCAGATCTGGGAGACTCAGAAGATGGAAGGGAGGCCGCCAAGGAAGGCCGTGCAGAGGAAGGCCATGGCAGACCATCCCTGCGCCTTCCTTGCCAGTTTGGTGTCATGGTTAAGTGCGTGGATTCTAATCTGGGAGAACTGGGTTTGATTCCCCACTCCTCCACATGCAGCTGCTGGTGTGACCTTGGGTCAGTCACAAGTTCTCTCAGAGCTGTTCTCTCAGGAGCAGTTCTCTCAGAGCTCTCTCAGCCCCACCTACCTCACAGGGTGTCTGCTGTGGGGGAGGGGAAGGGAAAGGAGTTTGTAAGCCGTTCTGAGGCTCCCGAGTGAAGGGCGGGGTATAAATCCAATCTCCTCCCCTTCTTCTGGAGCCAGTATGGTGAAGTGGTTAAGTGTGCGAACTCTGATCTTGGAGAACCGGGTTTGATTCCCCACTCCTCCACTTGCAGCTGCTGGTGTGACCTTGGGTCAGTCATAAGTTCTCTCAGAGCAGTTCTCGAAAGAGCTCTCTCAGCCCCACCTGCCTCACAGGGTGTCTGCTGTGGGGAGGGGAGGAGTTTGTAAGCCGCTCTGAGACTCTGAGTGAAGGGGGGGTATAAATCCAATCTCCTCCTCCTCCTCTTTTTCATCTTCTTCTTGCCTTGGAAGCCCGTTGCTGGGGTGGCCATAAGTTGGAAGCCAAGCAGGGCTGGTACTTGGAAGGGAGACCGCCAAGGAAGGCTCTGCAGAGGAACGCCATGGCAGACCACCTCTGCTCCTCCCTTGCCTTGGAAGCCCCTGGCTGGGGTGGCCATACGTTGGAAGCTAAGCAGGGTCAGTACTTGGGAGACCGCCAAGGAAGGCTCTGCAGAGGAAGGCAATTGGCAAACCACCTCTGCTCCTCCCTTGCCTTGGAAGCCCCTGGCTGGGGTGGCCATATGTTGGAAGCTAAGCAGGGTCAGTACTTGGGAGACCGCCAAGGAAGGCTCTGCAGAGGAAGGCAATTGGCAAACCACCTCTGCTCCTCCCTTGCCTTGGAAGCCCTTGGATGGGGTGGCCATAAGTTGGAAGCTAAGCAGGGTCGGTACTTGGAAGGGAGACTGCTAAGGAAGGCTCTGCCGAGGAAGGCAAAAGCAGACCACCTCTGCTCCTCCCTTGCCTTGGAATCCCCTGACTGGGGTTGCAACTTGCCGGCATTTTCCACACACCCACCACCTTTATGGCACCACCGTACTTTGGTACAAATGACACAGCTACTCCTTGGAAGTGTTCACAGCAGGCTGGATCCTGGGAGTACCCAGGAGGAGAAGTGCAGGTGGGGAAATTGATGGGCCAAAGGAAAGACACCCTAACTGGAGAGCCAGTTTGGTGTAGTGGTTGAGTGCACGGACTCTAATCTGGGAGAACCGGGTTTGATTCCCCACTCCTCCACTTGCACCTGCTGATGTGACCTTGGGTCAGTCACAAGTTCTGGCACAGCTGTCCTTGAAAAAGAGCCGTTTCTGTCAAGAGCTCTCTCAGCCCCACCCACCTCACAGGGTGTCTGTTGTGGGGAGGGGGGGGGAAGGGAAAGGAGATTGTAAGCCGCTCTGAGACTCCAAGTGAAGGGTGGGGTATAAATCCAATCTCTTCTTCTTCTTCTTCTAACATGATGCAGGGGGAAAAGAACCTGTGACATTCAGTACCACAGTGTATGGTGGTGTTGGTGGTGGCGGCAGCAGCTCCAACGGAGGCTAGGCCGTTTCATGGAAGAGAGGGCCTCAAGCCAGGGAAGATCAGCACAAGCCGTCAAGGGGTTGGAGTGGCTTAACTTCCCGTTTACAGAAAGCTTGTTCTTGACTGTACTGGCAATCCCTGGCCTAAAAGGTCCTACCTACATGCTGTCTTTTCCAGGCCACTAGAATTAAAGCCCTTCTCTGAAGTCTCATTCCTGAGATCCACCCTGATGTCTGGCCCTTAACCAGATCACATAAAGCGACTGTTGCAGAAAGTTGCAGTTCTTTAGCTTCTGCCCAATCCAGGGTTCTTGATTGATTTACACACATGCTCTTGCTGCACCCATAATTGGGAGCGCATCTCTTATACTAGGCGGCCTGGGAAAAACCCTTCATCCCTGGGAGCACTGAATGTCAAACCATCGTCACAGAGCTGCTTCCAGACTTTGTTTTGCTCTTGATTACTATGAAAGAGGTGCTGCTGACCAAAGATATTTGTGTTCTTCCCCCCCCCCCCCCCCCCTCCCCCCCCCCCCCCCCCCCGTGTCCCTCTAGGTCCACAACTTCATGGAAGTCTGCTGGGATAAATGCGTTGACAAAACAGGTGCCAAACTGGACTCTAGAACTGAAACTTGCCTGGCCAACTGCGTCAACCGCTTCATAGACACAACATTGTCCGTCACCAATCGCTTTGCACAGATAGTACAGAAAGGAGGGCATTGATGATGACCCCGTCCCGCACTGCATGGAGTTTTGCGGAGCCCTCCCTAATTAACAAAGTTGACACTGACCACCAACATCAGAAGCTCTACTTGATGGGAAGGTCTTATCACGATTATGAGACTATAACTGGCCCTTGCTAGATGTTGAACGTGGTCAGCGAGAGCAACGTCTGGCCTTCATGATGTTTAATAAATCACGAAAACCTTCCCAAGCAACTTGATCTAGTGGAAACTGGTTGCTTTGGTTTCCTTTGTCTGCACGATGAGATTTTTCCAGGTGGCAAATGGCTTGCTTTAAAATACAAGTGGTTTCAGAGAATGAATGGAAAACATGTTTCACGGGCGAGCCTGAAAGTGAAGGAGGGGCCTGTTGGCTCCCGCGTTGGGTTACTACTCAGTCATCTGTGTAGCCCCTCCCGATCTCAAAATTGGCCATACCACTCAAAACTGCAATTTGAAATTAAAATTGTTTGTATTCACAAAATGTACCACACACAACCATTCTGATGTAGCATGCCATGTTCTGGCACTGAGTGTGTTGTACAGGTGTACTAGTTTCCATTAAAACCAATTCCTTATCAAGTGTCTTTGTAAATGCATAACAATTATTCTGTCCAGTACATCTTGCATCATAGCAGCCTTAATAGCCCAGAGCAGCTACATTCAAGCCCAGTAGCATCAGAGAGACCAATGAGATTTCGGGGGTATGACCTATTGAGAGTCAAAATTCCCTTCCTCAAGGGCTTGTGCACTCAAATCTGGCTGTTCTGCAGAACAGAATAGCCCAGAGTAGCCTAATCTCATCAGAGCTTGGAAGTGAAGCAGGGTTGGTACTTGGGCGGGAGACCACCAAGGAAGATTTGGGCTGCTATGCAGAGGGGGGCAAAGGCAAACCACCTCTGAACATCTCTGGCCTTGAAAACCCTGTGAAGTGGAATTTCATAGAGTTGCCATGAGTCAGTTGTGACTCAGGGTCCGCAACATAACATGAGAAGAGCCCTGCTGGATCAGACCAGGGAGGGTCCCGCTAGTCCAGCCTCCCGTCTCATACAGGGGCCAACCAGTTCCTCTGGAGGGCCAACAACAGGGCAGAGAGGCCGAGGCCTTCCCCTGAGAAGAACATCAGAAGAGCCCTGCTGGATCAGACCAGGGAGGGTCCCGCTAGTCCAGCCTCCCGTCTCATACAGGGGCCAACCAGTTCCTCTGGAGGGCCAACAACAGGGCAGAGAGGCCGAGGCCTTCCCCTGAGAAGAACATCAGAAGAGCCCTGCTGGATCAGACCAGGGAGGGTCCCGCTAGTCCAGCCTCCCGTCTCATACAGGGGCCAACCAGTTCCTCTGGAGGGCCAACAACAGGGCAGAGAGGCCGAGGCCTTCCCCTGAGAAGAACATCAGAAGAGCCCTGCTGGATCAGACCAGGGAGGGTCCCGCTAGTCCAGCCTCCCGTCTCATACAGGGGCCAACCAGTTCCTCTGGAGGGCCAACAACAGGGCAGAGAGGCCGAGGCCTTCCCCTGAGAAGAACATCAGAAGAGCCCTGCTGGATCAGACCAGGGAGGGTCCCGCTAGTCCAGCCTCCCGTCTCATACAGGGGCCAACCAGTTCCTCTGGAGGGCCAACAACAGGGCAGAGAGGCCGAGGCCTTCCCCTGAGAAGAACATCAGAAGAGCCCTGCTGGATCAGACCAGGGAGGGTCCATCTTGTCCAGCATCCTGTCTCACACAGTGGCCATTCCAGTTCCCCTGGGGAGCCAACAACCGGGCAGAGAGACCGAGGCCTTCCCCTGAGAAGAACATCAGAAGAGCCCTGCTGGATCAGACCAGTGAGGGTCCATCTCGTCTAGCCTCCTGTCTCACACAGGGGCCAACCAGCTCCTCTGGAGGGCCAAAAACAGGGCACAACGGCCGAGGCCTTCCCCTGATAAGAACCTAAGAAGAGCCCTGCTGGATCAGACCAGTACTCCATCTTGTCCAGCATTCAGTCTCACACAGGGGCCAACCAGCTCCTCTGGATGTCCAACAACAGGTCGTAGAGGCCGAGGCCTTCCCCTGATGTTGCCTCCTGGCTCTGGGATATAACGTGGATATAAGAGCAAGCAAGTGGGCTTGTGCTGGAGGTGAGGCCGGACGAGGGGGCCCAGCTGGTAAAGCAGAAGTCCAGCAGGAAGGGTTGGGCAGGGGCAAGTAAATAGGAGCCAGGGAGGGTAAACGAGGTCCAGAATGGAGCCCCCAGTCTAAACAGCTCTGTTATCCTGAGTTAACATGAAGAGAATTACATGCATCCGTTATGTTGCCCCCTAGAGCGCTCTGGGAATTGTAGCTTGGAGAGCACGCTGAGGTGACTGGTGTGGCCGTCTTTTTGGATTACAGCCTTCCATACTATCTGAAGACGTGTGCGTGCACACGAACGCTTATGCCCAGAATTAAAGAAGAGGAGAAGAGATTGGATTTATACCCCGCCCTTCACTACCCAAAGGTGTCTCAGAGCGGCTTACAAACTCCTTCCCCTCCCCACAAGAGACACCCTGTGAGGTAGGTGGGGCTGAGAGAGCTCTGACAGAAACTGCTCTTTTTCAAGAACAGCTCTGACAGAACTATGGCTTGCCCAAGGTCATCCAGCAGGTACAAGTGGAGGACTGTGGAATCAAACCCAGTTCTCCCAGATTAGAGTCCGTGCACTTTGGTCTTAAAGGCGTCACTGGACTCAAACAGAAGCCTTCCATACTATCCTCTACAGTACACAATAAAAAAAAAACACCCGAGCCAAATTATGGTTGCCAGCTCCATCCACGTAACTTCCCAGGAGCAGCACCTGAGGAGGGTGGAGTCTGGGGAAGGGGGGTTCAGCTGGGATGTGAGGCCACACTCTACCCTCTGAAGCAGCCCTTTTCTACAGGGGAACTCATCTCTGCGGTCAAGATATCAGCTGCAGTTCCAGGAGATCTCCAGGCCCCACCTGGAGGTCGGCAGCCCTAAGCTAAGCCTCATTAAAAGATAAAGGTTCCCTCGCTCGAAAGCCAGTCGAATCCAACTCGGGTTGCGGTGCTGCTCATCTCCGTTTCAAAGCCGAAGAGCCAGCGCTGTCCGAAGACGTTTCCGTGGTCATGTGGCCGGCATGACTAAACACCAAGGCGCACGGAACGGAAAGCCTCATTAAACATGCCTCCAAATCCTTTGAAGGCTGCATTTCAATTTCTTAAGAAGAAGAGGAGATTCGATCTATACCCCACCCTTCACTCGGGGTCTCAGAGCGGCTTACAGTCTCCTTCCCCTCCCCACACCCTGTGAGGTAGGTGGGGCTGAGAGAGCTCTTTCGAGGACTGTCCTTGATAACAGCTCTGACAGAACTATGGTTTGCCCAAGGTCATCCAGCAGCTGTGAGTGGAAGAGTGGGGAATCAAACCCGGTCCTCCTAGATTAGAGTCCACTCACTTAACCACTACACCAAACGGGCTCTTTAGTGCTACTTGTGGGGGTGAGAGAACAGCCAAAAAGTGCTGTTCTCCTTAATTGCATAAACATTAATTATACCCTGCCTGGCCCTCTCTTCCCTTCCATCCCAGAACTGCCTCGGAAGTGGAATGTCTGCCAGTCAGAGATTGCTTAGACCCAGAGAGAAGAAAGGAGAGCTTCAACACTGGCCAGTTCTCAGTAAAGAATAGTTACAAGAATGGGCACAGTAATAAGACCAATGAAAAAAAGGAAAAAGAACTGTGACAATTTAGCGCTTGTTAATATATTCATAAATCATAATATACAATAACAGAAAATAAGTAATATATATAGTGAGTGTAGACGGTGGTCTCCGGAATGGTGTGCCGTTTCGACAATGATCTTCTTCTGAACAAGGATGCGTACATAAACTGTCTTTCAACAATTCATTTCTCTTGGTGACGTATTGAAAATATACTGTTGATTCACTTCATCATAAAGCTATGCTTATGGCTATGTTCTTCAATGGGCAGGCATTCAGCAATTATAGCCCACTGAAGTACATAGCCGTAAGCATAGCTTTATGATGAAGTGAGTCAACAGTATATTTTCAATACGTCACCAAGAGAAATGAATCCTTGTTCAGAAGAAGATCATTGTCGAAACGGCACACCATTCCGGAGACCACCGTCTACATTCACTATATATATTACTTATTTTCTGTTATTGTATATTATGATTTATGAATATATTACCAGGCGCTAAATTGTCACAGTTCTTTTTCCTTTCTTCAAAGTTCTCAGTAAAGAACATACTGTCGATATGCTTGCAGAGCTACAATGCTACGACCTTCCGTTATCCCCAAAGCTCAGAACTGCATGTGTTTCGATCAGTCTCCACCCACCAGAGTAGGACCCCTTAATCAAAGCCAGGGTTAGCCACACCTCTCAGTGTTCCCTCTAAGCTGAGCTAGTGTGAGCCAGCTCACAGTTTTTTAGCCTCCAGCTCAGTTTTTTTGTCTTAGCTCAGGAAGGAGGGCTCCAGAGCAGGCTAATTTATGCAGGAGCCCAATCGCTCGCTCACAGCTTTAATGCCGGTAGCTCGCAAAGTAGAATTTCTGCTCACAAGATTCCACAGCTTAGAGGGAACACTTTTCCCTGCTGTCCCCTTTAGGAGGATCCTGCATTGAGCAAGGGTGGGTGGGACTAGATAAGATGGCCAGTCTGGCTCCTTCCAGCTCTATGATTCTATCTACCACTGTATGCTCAGGCAAGAGGGATGCCTGGGAAACGCGGCCACTTGCGGCTCAGCTCGATGGTGGCGCCTCACTGATGGCTGGAGGAGTTTGTGGTGTTTCTCCATTATTTATTGCAATTAGATTTTTTTTTACATATTGGCCATTAAAAATAGTTAGATTTTTAAAACAAAACAAAACAAAACAAAACAAAAACGGACAGGGGCCCTAAAGCCGCCAAGTTCCCTCCTGAGCCGCTCTCAAGAGTATCGCTTGATCATTAAGGGTTCGCATAGTCATCATGAATACACGGTGATTTGGCTGGAATCCGGGGGTGGGCAAATGCGCCCTGGGCAGGAGCCGCTTTCTTTCCACGGCTCCTTTCAGGCCAGGGGGAGACAGAAGGCTGCCCCCTGCGAGATACCAAGGTCTGCAGAGCCCCTTTGGACCTCGGTTGACTCCACAAGGACGGCATTTGGAAGACGGCCCTGTCCTCTCGCAGAAGAAGCACACGCGCAAGCTGCTCCCTTTTCATCAATCCTCATCGGAACTGTCCTCTGAATTCTCATCAGCCGCCACTTTCCAGTTTTTCCTCTTGCTGCGTTTCTCCGGCACTCCTTCGCCACCTTTCTCCGAGGTGGAAGCACAGCGTTTCCTCCGTTTCTTCTTCGGCTGCTTCTCCGGCTTTCCCTTCAGCTCGCTGTCCTCGGAGCCGCTGGAGTCACTGTCCTGCCCTGAGGAGGAGGTTGGCGGCTTGGCCGGGTTCTTCTTGGCCTTCTTGTGGCGCTGCCGCCTCTGCTTCCCTGAGCCCAAAGCGCCTCCCTCCAAACAGTCAGATCCCTGGGAAGAGTCTGAGGCCGTGCCCGGCGGCTCCCTTTTCTTCTTCTTCCGCTTCTTGTGCGACTTCTTCTTCCGCTTCTTCTTGTGCGACTTTTTGGCCTTTTTCTTTTTGTGCGGCTCCGGAGAGGACCGCCTCCTGGGCTGAGATTTCCTTTTTCCGTTTAGGGAATTCTGTTCGCTTCGCTCCCGTTGATCACTGTTTAGCAAATAAAAATAATAAAAGCTTTGAGCATACTGAATGAGAAAAATTACATTCTCAAGCAGGAGCGGGCCAGAGAGTGTAAAAGGGAAACGTCTGGTGGGCTGGCAAACCAAAAGGGAAGGGGAGGGGAAGAGAGGCGAGGGCTGCACTTGGCCAGACACACGAGGAGCAGGCTGAGTTCCAGTGGTGCGGCCAACATCTAGACCAGGGGTGTCAAACATGTGGCCTGGGGGCCGGATTAGGCCCCCGGAGGGCTTTCATCAGGCCCGCAGTAGAACCGGCCATCTACTGCTTCCAGTTCTGCTGCTCCTGCATCATAGCTTGCTTTGCCAGACTTAATCATTCAGCCATTCCATGTTTTAACCTTGGTCCTAGACTCAGAACTCTGAGCATGAGATTTCTGCGGTGAATGTCAATGAATCAAAAGTAGGTTTGCAGCTTACAGAGCTAATGTTTTAGGCATGTTTTTATTATAAGTAAAAAGAAAATCTTTGTGTTTGTGTCCTTTATAAAGTTTATATCTCCGGTACCTGGCATTACATTTTATGACATGAATGGCCCGGCCCAACAAAGTCTGGTTTGTGTCAGATCCAGCCCTCATAACAAATGAGTTCAACATTCCTGATCTAGGCAGGTCAGAGAGGCAGCGAGAGGCGTTGCCTTCTCCCATGCCAACAGCCTCAGCGCTTGGGATACTTCAAGCGGATACCTGGAAAGGAGACAGGTGGCCAAATTGTGGCTCGGGAGCCGCATACGGCTCTTTTACACATAGTGTGCGGCTCCCGGCAGGGCGGCTGGGGAAGCTAAGTATCATTAGCAAACAAATATCATTATCAATATCTGCTTTTACCGCTTTCGTTATTATTTCTGGCAGTCTCATTTAATGTTAATAAAAAGCAAATTTGCACATTTCCCAGTCAAAACATGTAATATTTGGTCATGTCTTGCGGCGATGCAACGAACATGAAATTAAGCAAACTCCGGGGCACGACGGAAGACAGGAGGGCCTGGCGTGATGCAGCCCACGGGGTCGCAAAGAGTCAGACTTGACTGTGCGAGTGAACAACAACAAACAACAACTTGCGGCTCTCAAATATCTGACGTTTATTATATGTGGCTCTTACGTTAAGCAAGTTTGGCCACCCCTGTTCTAACTGAACTGGGCAGAAGTAGAGATGTAAAATTTCTGGAAATTTTGAAGCTCGGAAAAAATCCGGGGTTTTTTTGGGAGGGAAATGGAAATTTTTGGAAAAATTGAAAAAAAATGCTACATTAGCCCTTCTTTTTTCCTTTTCAAATTGAAAGTCATTCTGTTACTTTAGGAACATAAAATATGACTATGGACATTTTTATTTGGCATGAAATTATCACAACTAGCATATTAAAAATATAGTGTATCCAAACAGTTATTACAAACAGAATACCCACCCACATGCAAAAACAAAACTGAAATCTTTTTCTTTTCTTGTGACAACAGCACCTCCTAAAGGAAGAAATGCATCTTGTTCTTGCATCGGAGAGTTCAGTTTGTAACCTAGGACTTGCTTGTCCTCAGTGCACAGAGGTTAGATCAATCTGATACCATACATATTTTTTAGAAATGATTTGGAAAATATTTGAACACCTTGTCTTAAAATATTCTATTCATCATGTTAAAATAAAATGTTCCATAATCAATTTTTTTCTTTCCTTTTTTCAATTTTTCAGAAAAAAAAAGGCTTCAAGGGAAAAATGGGGGGGAAACGGGTTTTTTTCGGGCCTTCACATCTCTAGGCAGAAGCCCATCCTAGAGAGCAAAACGGCGCCACCTGCTGCTGCTGTTTGCCACATGCCCCACCTGTTCTAAATCCTTGTTATGATGCTGCTCAGACTTCTGAGTGCTCCTTGGGCTTAGACTCCTGCACTGCGAGTTAATTCAATTCATCTTTCGGACATGGCTCAGTTCTCAACAACTCGTCATGTAGCACAGAATTTATTTATTTGATTTATACCCCGCCCTCCCAACGGCTCAGGGCGGCTTACATATGGCAAAGCCAAAGCAAAATACAATAAAACATATGATAAGCTACATATTTAAAACACAATAAAACCATCCTATTTACACGGTGCTGAGCCTATATTTAATCTTCCAAGATGGGAACAACCACCCGAATTTGATGGCCAGCTCTCTCGGCAAAACGGTCTCCTGCTACGCTGTTCTGCCAGGCCGGGCCAGTCCCCCTTTAACAGGGCTGGCGGAAGAGCTCCGTCTTACAGGCCCTGCGGAACTGCATAAGTTCCCACAGGGCCCGGATCCTGAATGCCTGCGCCAAAACCGCCAGTGACAGAGAAAGGCATGAGGCCATTTGAGTGTCCCCCACCCAACACCAGCAGCCTCTCCCCCTCACTTCTCAAATGATACACCCTTCCATAGGAATGTTTCATTTCGTACGGAAAAGACTACCTTAGGGGCTATCCACCATACTAACGTTAAACACAGGTATGAGATTCCTTTGCTTCGACCTGGATAGCCCTGGATAGCCCGATCTCATCAGATCTTTGGAGCTTAGCAGGGTCAGCCCCAGTTAGTATTTGGAAGGGAGACACAGCCCCCCCCCCCCCCCCCGAAAACCCGGAGACAGACCGCGCAATGGCAAACTGCCTCTGAACGTCTCTTGCCCTGAAAACCCTACAGGGTCGCCAGAAGTCAGCTATGACTCAAAGGCAAGAAAGAAAAAGATTTCTTTAGTCGCTTATTTGCTTTACCTGTCCGTATCAAATTCTTCGGGATACAATTCTTTGTAGCCGCTGTGGCCCCACCTGAAAGACAGCAACAAGCCACTGAAAAAATGGTCTCACGCACAAGCGGTACAAAAACCGAGCCAGGCTGCACCATCCGTGGAATCACGTGACCTGGTCCCTGCTGGGCTGTACCACTTCTGGCGGCAGAAGAGGGGGATCGTAGGTATAAATGCGTCTCTACGGATTTGCTGGGAAGGTGACAAGCAGCAAAGTGTCTTATCAAACACTGCAAATTTAGAGAGCAACGGAAATAACAACAGTTCCTGGTGTACCCTCTGATCTCCAGCTGAAATGACATCTAACTGCGTCTGCTCACATTAACAAAGACTACTGCAATGCACTTTACGTGGGTCTTCCCTCAAAAATCAATTTGAAAACTGCAGCTGGTGCAGAACGCCCCGGCTCGGCTATTATTGGGAACTTGACAGCATACACGCGACTCCCATTCTGCAAACGCTTCGCTGGCTGCCCGTTTCTTGCTGGGCTCAGTTTAAGGTATGCCGGCCACATGACCACGGAAACTACTTCGGACAGCGCTGGCTCTTCGGCTTTGAAACGGAGATGAGCACCGCAACCGTAGAGTCGGATTCGACTGGCTTTCGAGCAAGGGAACCTTTATCTTTACCTATCGCACGCAAAGCCATTCATAGCCTTTGTCCCTGTTACCTGCAGGACCACCACTCCCCCCGTGCTCCCCCACCACACCTTCATTCACCTCAGCGGGGGCTTCTGCAGGTGCCACCCTGCAAATGGGCAAAGCCAACAACTGCTCGTACGCGTGGCCTTCTCCATTGTGGCCCCCACCTTGTGGAACAGCCTACCTGGGGAGGTCAGGAAAGCTCCCACTCTCCTGGCTTTCCGCAAACTATGCAAAAACTGGGGCTTTTCTGCAGATAACAGGGTTGCACGGTACAAAATGGTTCACAAGCTCACTTGGATGAATGAAGATAGATCAAGATGGGTAGCCATGTTAGCCTGTCTGTAGTAGCAGAAAAGAGACCAGTAGCACCTTATAGACTAACAGAATTTGTGGCAGGGGAGGAGCTTTCGCGAGTCACTGTATCGGAAGCGGTGAGCAGTGACTCACGAAAGCTCCTCCCCCGCCTCATATTTTGTTAGTCTTTAAGGTGCTTCTGGACTCTGGCTCTTTTCTACTGCTACTGGGTAAATGCTTAGGAACTGTGGTCTATACTGCTCTGTACAGCTTTCTGTCAGTAGGATCCTATTGTGAAATTTTTGCATGGCTTAACGTGTCCTGTTCATACTTGTGCTACGCTTCAGTTCTTTCTGGTTGGTTCCAGAGTGTTCCCTCTAAGCTGAGTTAGTGTGAGCTAGCTCACCGTTTTTTAGCCTCTGGCTCACGTTTTTGCCTCCGCTCAGGAAGGAGGGCTCCAGAGCAAACTGATTTATGCAGCAGCCAAATCGCTCGCTCACAACTCTAATGCCAGCAGCTCACAAAGTAGAATTTTGGCTCAGAAGACTCCACAGCTTAGAGGGAGCATTGTTCCAGACTTCTACAGTCCTAGGTTACTGAATGTCCCATTTTGTTGACTGTACTGACTTGCTCTGTGTAAGCCGCCTTGAGCTCCTGTGAGAAAGGCGGACGATCAGTAACATAAATAAACGGATACATTTATTCCTTGTCATCCTGGCCTTCGTCTTTCCTCCCCCGGCCTGCATTTCCCCGATCAAAACTGACATTTAGACTGTACGTTCTGTGAGGCAGGGACCTTCCTGTTTAACTTAGTTTGGTCTATAAGAGGCCTGATCCTGCGATGGTGCTGTAGATACCCTAGGAACAGCAGCTTCCCGACCTGTCCGGCATGCTGGCTTCACATTCGTAGAGTTTCTTGTTCCAGTATCGGGCGTGGCGGAGGTCATCTTCTGTCGTCACTGAGACAGGAGCAACATTCCTCACCTTCCAGTCGTGGTGCTGGCTGTCCTCATCAAAGCCATCACTACGCATCCGGCTACTGTGCAGAGATAATGCGAGAAACTTTTAAAATAGGACTGCAAAGGAAATTAGTGTTCTGTGGAAGGAACTACATGCCAAAGGCAAGAAACAACTCTGCCAATGTTGGGAAGGAAGCCAAAAGAGACCAAGTTCTAAGCACAATTCCCCGCTTGCCTTCTCCGAAACACAGAGACATCAATCGGTTTCTTAGCAAGGGTTGCCCTGTGTTAGATATTCTAAGTTCAAAGCAGCCAGAAGGTCAAGGTTGTTTTTACCGATTCTGGCATTAAAATCACCAAGTTCTAATTGTCCAAGATATGAAGCCAAACGGTCCCAAAGAGAACATAGGGACGGTTTATCAGGCATAGGAGGTAAATAGACATTAACAGCAATAAAAACAAAATCCTGAAGGCTAAAATGAAAAGCATGGGCAATAGGGTTACAAGCAGGTAATTCCGACAATTTAAATTTGGAATTTTGGGGAAACAAAAGGCTTGGAAATGAACCCGAGGATTGCTCTTGAACCCGGGTAGGAAGTGTGTTGAGAATCCTTCGAGGAAGATTGTAGATTCTGTCCAAGTTTCTTGGAGAAAAATTATCTTGAATTGCTTTAGATAGGAGCAAAAGTCATGATCCGATTTCTTACTACCCCATCCAGCTATATTCCACGATAACGACTTCACGGTTGAGGCCTGAGGTTTCGTTAGATAATGTAACTCTGCGTGCAAGAGGATCAGGCAGGGAAAGGGTTACGAGAATTCTCTCTCTCACTCTTTCTCTCGCTCTCCTGGGCTTGGAGGTGTAGCAAGTTAAACTTTTTGAACTTAATCTCTTCACAATAACTTAAATGTACCTACATGAATACGTCATGTAGAAGAACAAGAAGAAGAGGAAATTGGATTTATACCCCGCCCTTCACTACTCAAAGGAGTCTCAGAGCAGCTTACAAACTCCTTCCCCTTCCCCTCCCCACAACAGACACCTTGTGAGGTTGGTGGGCTGAGAGAGCTCTTGACAGAAACTGCTCTTTTTCAAGGACAGCTGTGCCAGGACTATGGCTTGTCCAAGGTCATCCAGCCGGGTGCAAGTGGAGGAACGGGGAATCAAACCCGTTTCTCCCAGATTAGAGTCCGCGCACTTAACCACAACACCAAACTGGCTCTTTGCTTATGACTTATGGGTCTATGAGCAATAAAAATGAATGGAATGGAATGGGCTCATATGGGGAGAGAACTATGGCTAGAGGAGAAAATGCTGTTCAAACAAATTGGTAACAAGAGAAAGAAATTTTACTTACAAAAACAGAAGCACATTTTACATGCCAGTTTGGTGTCGTGGTTAAGTGCGCAGACTCTGATCTGGGAGAACCGGGTTTGATTCCCCACTCCTCCACTCGCAGCTGCTGGATGACCTTGGGCAAGCCATAGTTCTGTCAGAGCTGTTCTTGAAAAAGAGCAGTTTCTGTCAGAGCTCTCTCAGTCCCACCTACCTCCGTTGTGGGGTGGGGAAGGGAAAGGAGTTTGTAAGCCGCTCTGAGACTCCTTTGGGTAGTGAAGGGCGGGGTGTAAATCCAATCTCTTCTCTTCTTCCCTTCCTGTTGGTCTCAAGAACTATCCTAGCTGTGGAATGTGTTGAGCCACTAAAAGGCCCGAAGACTGACTGGAAAGGAGAAAACAAATTCTCTTTCCCTGACTCTCAAAATCTGAATGGTTCAGGCATAGCCCTCTGAGCAGGGTATGTAGCCCTAACAAAGAAGCAAGAGTCAAGGCCCAAAGAGGGGAAAATAGGAATTTCCATTCTGCTGCTAGAGAGAAAGATCTGGTAATACCTGAAAGCAGAGAAAGGCAATTAAAGGCGAAGTGGAACAAAATCTCACCTGGAAGAATTGGAAAGCAAACTCTTCTGCTTGCCCCGATACACCTCTTCTGTCTGCTTTTCCATCTCTCGTATTTTCCACATTTCTGACTCTTCCTGAATCTGAGAAACATTAAGAAATGCACTCAAAGCAACATTTCTATAGGAATGGTGCACATCAAATCTCAGCTGAATGTTTTATTTATTTATTGGATTTATAGCCCGCCCGCCCTTTAACGGGCTCAGGGTGGGTTCCAAAAGTAAAAGATACAACACAACTAAAACCATTTAAAAACACAATATAAAATAACATAATTCATATGTGTCATACAACTCTAGTAAAAGCCAGATACCTCAGTGGTTGATAACATTAAAATTAGGTTTTTAGATTGAAGATCTTTAAAATTTAGAGTCTCAAGTCCTGGCGGAAGAGCTCCGTCTTACAGGCCCCGCGGAATTGTAATAAATCCCGCAGGGTCCTGATCTCACTTGGGAGCTCATTCCGCCAGGCAGGGGCCAGGGCCGAAAAAGACCTGGCCCTGGTTGATGCAAGTCGGACGTCCCTGGGGCCAGGGACCACCAAAAGATGTTGGTTGGTGGACCTTAGTGCTCTATGAGGCTCATACGGGGCGGGCAGATTCCAAGGGACTCCTTAGTCAGAACGACTTTGTAATTGTAATTCAGGTGATTTGGACACGATTTGGCATTGTGACGACCCCTTAACTGCGGAGGTCTGGGTTTACTTTAAAATGTTCTTTCTGTTTTGTTTTTACTCTATATATACGGCTGCCACCAAGAAATTTCTCTATTTCTGGGTAGGTATGTCGAGGGTTTTAGGCGTTCGAGGTACTATGTGTTTCCTGGGAAGAATTTCTTTCAGAGTGGGTATTTTTAAATGAAAGAGGATTTATTGAAGTAATTCACAAATAAAAGATTAACTCATTGTAACCAGAAAGGCTTAAATACTGAACAACTGCTTGGTGTAGCCCACACTTTTCCCTCTTACTGACAGGGATCTGGGCATGTCACTTTGTAACAATATTTTCCTTAGGCCATATAAGTTTACTGTTTCTTATACATTCAACTTCAGCTTATAACTGTTTCAACACAGACGGCTTCTCTCACAGACTTCAGAACTTAACAACCCACAAATAACCTTCTGCGCGAAAGCAAATTAAATTTAGTGTTTTACACTTAGATAAATGGAGCACAAGTTGCCGAGCTCGACTGGTTTGTTCTTTGTATTATTTAGGTCTTCCAATTCCGGAATCTTTGTCCTCTTGCTGTAAATCTTTGATGGTCCCCAATATAGAATATTGTTTTCCAAGGCAAGATTAAATGTTTTGACTCTTGGGGAATTAGCGAGCAGATTCCTAGGGACTCCTTTTTCAGAATGACTTTGTAATTGTAATTCAGGTGATTTGGATACAATTTGGCACTTTTTCATTGATTGCAGAAAATACGATATGGCTCGTGACAGATGGATCTCAGTGTATATTCAAAAATGGAGCCCTGCTACTTATCAGGAACTCGTAGCTAATCTCTTAGCTGATACTGATCCAAATGTGACGCTGGCAGTGGCAAGGTTTTTATCTGTAACCCTGGGTAGTATTAAATGAATTGACTCTTTTAGGCAGTTAATATATATTTGGTAACCAAATTGATTAATTTTGTGAACTTGTAACTGTAATTGTAATGTACTGTATGTATATATGTTGTATTTTGTATTATACCCTGTCTATTTGAAGAAGAAGAGAAGAGATTGGATTTATACCCCGCTCTTCACTACCCAAAGGAGTCTCAGAGCGGCTTGCAATCTCCTTTCCCTTCCCCTCCCCACAACAGACATCGTGAGGTAGGCGGGGCTGAGAGAGCTCTGAGAGAAACTGCTCTTTTTCAAGGACAGCTGTGCCAGAACTATGGCTTGCCCAAGGTCATCCAGCCGGGTGCAAGTGGAGGAGTGGGGAATCAAACCCGTTTTTTTCCCCAGATTTGAGTCTGCGCACTTAACTACTACACCAAACTGGCTCTTTGCTTATGACTTATGGGTCTATGAGCAATAAAAATGAATGGAATGGAATGGGCTCATATGGGGAGAGGCGGTCCCGTAGGTATGCTGGCCCCTGGCGGTATAGGGCTTTGAAGGTAAGCACCAGCACCTTGAAATGGATCCGGAATTCGATAGGCAGCCTAGACAGAATTGTGGACAGCCTTTTTTTAAAAAAGTTTTTTTTTTAATTATTTAAAAATATGAAAAATTTACATTAAAAATAACTTCAACAATCCCCCGGGTTCTCCTCACCCCCCCATAATTAAAAAAAGGTTCATATAAGCAACTTTATAAAACAACAAGGATCTAACTGAATAAATTACTATAACTACACTCCACAGAACAGACTGTAGACCTAACATGAGGCTAATCAGAGATTTATCAGGTCCAAATTATCAGCCGTAGCGGGAATCACAGCTTGCGACTTCAGGTAGTCTAGGATTGGTGCCCAAGTATGAAACACGAATTGTGGACAGCCTAGACAGTGAGGCACTCTGCTCCGTACCTTGTTATGTGCATCAGTGTGACGAATGACATTTCGCAGGAGGACCTTCCCCAAAGGGACCCGGGACATACTTCGACCTTAGATAATAACAAAAACAAACATCCAGTAAGATCAGTAAATGACAGCACAAGCTATTGCCTAAATTGGAAAATATTCCTGTTAGGAGCCAGAGGAGGAAAACGATTCAATGGCTGTCTGAAGAAGAAATCTGAAGAAATCCTATCTAAAGCAATGACAAAATTCACCACCAATTCTCAGAGCACCATCTTGTCTGCAGGGGGGGGGGGGGGACATTAGGCAGCAAGCAGTATCTATGCTGGGAGTAGCCTTTTACATTCCCGACTTTCAAAAGCAACAACCTTACATGTAAAGAACAGGGTATGCAATTGGAGTCAAAATACCAAAGATAAAATAATACTGTTTCTCGGATTCATCATTCACAGCTGCCTTTTTAAAACTAGATCACCCTCGTTACCCACAGCTAATCAGGGATCCCTGGAAGAAATCTCTTCACACCTTCTTTGCAAATGCTGATTTCCCTTATCGTGCTGCTGAAGTGAAGAAAGGGAGCCAAACTCAAAGAAACAAGCCACTGCAAGCCCAGTGAATGCCAATTAGTCACTTTTGAACAAACCATAGTTCTACCTGTAAAGCTCATGCTTATCTTTTAAGGTATACCAAGATTTTTCACTTTTAAGTAACTGTACAGAAGTAGGTAACAGACTAATTGCTACCATTCTGGTATTCACTGCCACAGGAGGTGGTGGCGGCTACAAGCATGGACGGCTTCTTTCAAGTTTTTTTCAGTGCTCTCCAGCCGGTCGTATAGAGGTTTAAACAGCGTTGCGATGTGGTCTGTGAACGTCTGTTCGATCTTGATTAGAGCAGCAGTTAAATCGGCCGATGTAACTGGTACCGGGGCTTCAGCTGCGGAACTTTCCGTCGCCATTTTGGGTAGTCGCTGCGTCCGCGGGCCCAAGGCTTGCGTTGGAGTTTTTGTCTCCGTTTCAGTTGTCAGCGTTTTTAATTTCTTCAGGTTTTGTTGTGCGTTTGTTCGGTTGTTCGTCTCCATAAAAATAGTAGTGTAATTATTCTTTAAGGTCGATATGGGGGTCGGTGAGAGGTAGGGTTTGCGGGAGAAGAAAGACTAAGCAGCCATCTTCTTTTTCCCGCCACCGGAAGTCCCCGCATGGACGGCTTCAAGAGGGAATTAGATAAGCATATGGAGCAGAGATCCATCAGTGGCTATTAGCCACAAGGTATAGATAGGAACTCTCCGTCTGGGGCAAGTGATGCTCTGTATCCTTGGTGCTGGGGGGGGGGGCAACAGGGGGAGGGATTCTAGTGTCCTGGCCCCACTGCTGGACCTCCTGATGGCACCTGGTCTTTTGGCCACTGTGTGACAGAGTATTGGACTAGACGGGCCATTGGCCTGACCCAACATTGGCTTCTCTTATGTTCTTAAATAATCCACCCATTTTAACAGGGTGTGAAGCTGAAAAAGTCGGGAGCAGGAAAAAGTCCAGAAGAGGGCAACCAAGATGATAAGGGGGTTGGAGCACCTTCCGTACGAGGAAATGCTAAAGAGTCTGAGACTTTTCAGTTTAAAAAAAGAGATGACTGGGGGAGGGGGGGGCATCAAATTTTAACAATTTATCAAATTGTGCCTGGGGTGGAAAAGAGTTGACAAAGAGATTTTTTTTTTCTCCCTCTCCCAAAATAGTATAACTTGAAGGCATCCAATGAAACTGACGGGCAGTAAGTTCAGGACAGACAAAAGGAAATACTACTCCCTCTAAGCTGTGGAGTCCTGTGAGCAAAAATTCTGCTTTGTGAGCTGCTGGCATTAACGTTGTGAGCGAGGGATTTGGCTGCTGCATTAATGAGTTTGCTCTGGAGCCCTCCTTCCTGAGCAGAGACAAAAATGTGTCTCAGCTATGCTGCCATAAGGGTTGGGGGTGGGGTGCTAGCTTGCCAGGACTGCTGTATTCCCTTCATCCCACAGATGATGATGGGAATAGCTCTTATAGCTCTATAGCTCTAGGACATACCTACGGGACCGCCTCTCCCCATTTGTTCCCCAACAAGCACTACGGTCCGGGACTAAACATCTCCTGGTGGTTCCAGGTCCCAAAGAGGCCAGACTAGCGGCGACTAGGGCTAGGGCTTTTTCGGTGGGGGCTCCTACCTTGCACAGTTCCGCAGGGCCTGCAAGACGGAGCTCTTCCGCCAGGCGTTTGAGGAGCCGCCACGACTGTTACCATCTGTCTACGACTATTACTATCTGTCCTAGCCCTTTATTACCAACTCGCCGTGAGCGCTAAAATGGTGGTACTGCATGGAGCTGTGGCCACTAAGGATACCATCCTGATGACGTCATCTGTTCCCTTGTTAGTTATTGTGGAGAGCACCTATGTTATACTGAATGTTTTTAAAATGCAGTTTTAATGATTTATGTATTGGGCATTGGCCCCATCTGTATGCCGCCCTGAGCCTGTTCGCGGGGAGGGCGGGTTATAAATTTAAATAAATAAATACAGCTCTTTAATAAAGTATAACCTTTCCAATACACTTGTACTCAGTTGTTGGCTGTGGAACCTGACATTGTGTGAGCTGGAGGCTATAAAAACTGTGAGCTGGCTGACACTAACTCAGCTTAGAGGGAACACTGGTGGCAGGGGCGGATGAAGGCTCACGGGTGCCTTCAGCACTGACCAATTTTGGTGCCCCCCCTCCCTTCCACACTGACCCCTAGTCCATTTTAGCGGTTGACCTGTCTGACCAAATAGAGAATACAGGTTGTAGCAATACAAAAATTTATTCATAGGATAACACGATACACTGTACAAACTAACTTGGGCTACGTAAAGTTCTGCAAAAATGCAATACAACATCTATTTTTAATATTTCACAAATTAAATGTATCAAAGTTCCAATACTCGTGACCCGAAAGGCATTTTTCTGTATTTCATTTTCACAAAATCACTGATAACATCCTCGAAATTAATACCTCTCAGAATGTCTGCTTCAATTGTTAATATACACAGTGAGTTGAGTCTTCCTTGACGCATAACTGAGCTATTTGGGTTTTTTTACACATTTCAGTTGTGAGAAAGACCTCCCTGTTGTGCACCCTTCCCCCCAACTTTGTGGTGCCCCCTTTGGCCCTGGGGTCCCCAAGCACGTGCCTTCGTCTGCTTCATGGGGAATCCGCCCCTGACCGGTGGCGACCCCTCTTCTGAAGAACTGCGGCCAAGAGACCCTTTGAGCGGGAATCTGGGCTCCCAACACGTGCGCCAGCGTGGCAGGGGCGGTCCTCACGCAACCCGGCCTACCTCACAAGGTTGTCGGGAGACCATACAAGCACATGGGCCCGAGCTCCTGGAAGGAAGAAAAAAGGGAAAAGGGGGATCCGGCGCAGCCGACGAGCGAGCGGCCCCTTTCGGCACACGCGACCCGCGGCGGCAGGAGAAGGAAAGGGCTCCTGTGCGGACACGCGTTCGGGCTTATTCACACGCGTCCCGCAGGTCGGTCGGCCCACCCGCCCAGCCGAAGTCTCGGCCCCGACCACGGTACCTACCGGGCTCAGGCAGTGCGCGGCGACGGAGGCTCCTGAGGCCTCGGAACCCGGAGAGCGGCGGGCGGGCGGGCGGGGCATGGGGACCGCGGACGCGCCGCTTCCGCTTCCGGCAGAGTCGGCTTCCTGCTTCCGGCCGTTGCTATGGAGACGGCGTCGGCCGAGGCGAAGCGTCGCTTCGCCGCCCTCCGACAATTTCACGGTGGTTTCTTCTGAGTTTTTCAAATATTTCAATTTTTTTCGAGACACTTTTCAGGACTTTGAATAACTTCTGCAGCTTCGGGCGGCTTGCTCGCAAGTGAGACCTCCCTCCCCCCCCCCCCAACCCAGCGAGGACTTACTCCCAAGTAGACCTCCTTTTCTTTTTTGATGTCACCGGGGGCCCTTCCTGAGCGTCTGACTGCTGCTTGGCAGGCAGAAATCCCTCTTTGCAGGAGCAAAGACGAATCAACACAACAGCCTTGCGAGGTTGTCCTGATCTGAGTGGCAGGAGGAGAAGGAAGCGGCTGGCGGCATCAGAAGCCTTTGCTCCGTTTCTTTATCGCCACTCAGCCTGCTGATCAGAGCCTGTCCTTGGCTCACAGCCTCACTCCCATCTCTTCCAGTTTATCTTCACAACAACCCTGTGAGGTAGGCTGAGCTAACGGTGAGTCACTGGCCCCAGGTCACCCAGCAAGGCTCTATGGCGGAGTGGGGATTCGAACCTCTGCTCTCGAACCAATGTACCACATGCACGCCCAGGGCCGGCTCACTCACTAGGCAATCGCCTAGAGCGAGATGGCCCTTAGGGGCACCAAACTGCACCCGGCCCCGTACTCTGGGAATTTCTTGATTATTTGTGTTTTTCATTCTTCCTAAAATGCATTTATTTTTTAACATTGGTGGGCACACGGGGGGGGGGGGCATAAGGGACCCTCGCCTAGGGTGCAAAATAAGCTGGAGCCGGCCCTGTGCACGCCCACAACCAATATGGCACATCCCATGCCATGCACAACTTGTGATATCTTGAACTGCAGCTGCTGAAGTGTATTCAGAAATTTTGAGAACCAGCTCTAGAAGAACGATTTTTTTCCCTGTTGTTTTTAACCCAAAGGACTGGCTGTCTTATTTTTGGTTCTTTAAGCAATGCAGGAAGAGCAGAACCCAGTCTAGCCTTCAACAATGTGTCTGGGGGGGAAGAGTTCAAGCAGAGATCCTTCCCATGCAAATAAAGCTGCTAGAAGCATGACTATAATTTTCATCTGTCAAATGCTGATTGTGTTAAAAGGGAATTAGATAGATTCTTGGAAGAGGAGCTCATCAGTGGAGACTCCATGAGCAGAGGCAGTAAACCTCTGAATCCCAGTACTTAGGAGGCAAAATCAGGAGAAGGCCTTGGCCTCTATGCCCTGTCAGCTGGTTGGCCATGGGGTGAAACAGGATGCTGGACTAGATGAGCCACCTCTTTATTTTTTCATGGTTCTCGTAGTGTTGCTGTTGATAGAAGCAAAAGACGAATGCTGAAATAGAACATTTGGTCAAAAGACTTTGGGACCACTTAAACTGCTTTCGGCAACTGCTGGAAGATCTCTCGCTATGCTTTGGTGGTGCTCCCCTCTGAAGGGGATATTTGTCCCCATATTATTTACAGGAAACTGGGGGCCTCAGGCTAAAATAGATTACCTAAAGACCTCATGCGAGCACCTGATTGGGGAGTGAATTAAACAGGGGACTTCCTAGTCACATTAGCAGTGAACATCACCTTTTACAAGGCGAACCTTTCTCCACCCCTGCATGTCGGGAAAAGCTGGCCCTGTCGCATTTCTGCCTGACAAGCAGTTGTCGGCACAAATAGGGCCAGCATAGACTTCTGAGACTAGTTGATGAAGGCCTCCATTTCTTCAAGGGGGTGAACTGAGGCTGGGGAATGAGGCTGGGTGAACTGAGTATGGGGAAATTGGGATGATTTAAAATCTTTTTTAAAATACAGATTTCCACTAGAAGCCTCTGCTGCTCCGCCTTGAATCCAGCTTTTCTTCCAGGTGCTACGCCTTGGCCGCTTCTGCCGCCTTGTCCATTACTTAAGAAGCAGCAATGGAGGCCCTTGGTCGCTCAGAGGACGTGCTGGCAAAGGCATCCCAGGTCTGGACGATGCTGGACGACATGGCCGAGAATTCTCCAGAGAGCTACCGCCAATTCATACAGCAACAGCTCAACAGCGCAAAGCAGCATTACGCTCCTCCCGAGCCACATCTGTGCGTGGAAGCCCGGATCTTGGTATGTTAGCGATGGACGCTGAAAACCATTGAGTTGTGCAGAGGTCCCCAGACTTTTACAGCCTGCCCTGCGGGCACCTTTGGAATTCTGACACAGTGTGGTGGGTAGCGTTCCCTCTAGGCTGAGTTCGTGTGAGCCCGCTCACAGTTTTTTAGCCTCCGGCTCACACATTTTTGTCTTCGCTCAGGAAGGATGGCTCCAGAGAAAACTGATTTATGCAGCAGCCAAATCGCTCGCTCCCAACTATACTGGCAGCAGCTCACAAAGTGGAATTTTTGCTCACAAGACTCCACAGCTTAGAGGGTGCATCGGTGGGCGCAGCCACAAAATGGCTGCCACAGCTTACCTTCAACCCCATAGTGAAAATCCGTGAGCTGTTGTTGCAGCTGCCGCCAAAGCAACATTGTTAAAAATCTGCACAGCCAATCCGATCTCCAGTGGCCAGTTAGAAGCGCAGCTCGCCAAAAGCCCCACATGGCCACACCCACTTGGTGGGCATCAGTAAAGGTGTGGGCAGGCACCCGTGGGCACCACACTGGGGGCACCACACTGCACTAGTGGGATGCAGTTGTGACAGGCGTGTCTACTTAATCTGCATTTTGCAGTCAAGTTCAGACTACAAAAGACAAATCAGATAGACATGCCTACAGTATGTAGATAAACTGTATTAGGAACTGGCACAATGGAGAGATCAGATGCAATTGTATTATCTTCTTCAGCTCATACTCCAAAAACACAATTCAGGGCAAAAATCCTGCTGATGGGTCATGCGTGCAGAACAGCGAGGTTACTGACGACTGCCTCATTTCACTGTCAGCTTTAGTAACAAAACAGGTTTTGAATTCCCTTTGCAGGAGCCAACTGAAACCCGATTGTTTGTTAACCTCTGCAGTTGGAATAAAGTCCCCCCTCCCCAGTCCCAATCCGATCCAGTCCCGTTAAGCGCCGGCAAAATGGATACGTTTGCAAAGTCAGGTGAGCAGAGAAACTAGGGAATGCCAAGCTTCCTGTTTTGCATCTTGATTCTGTGGGGTGTTGGCGGAAGAGCTCGATGCTGAATCTTGTCCCTCCACAAAGAGGTCTGCATAGAGGTGGCAGCGATGAATGTACCACTGTGTCGTTAAGGACGACTTGTTCCCATATGGTCCTGCCCAGGCACTACATTCATAAGCACTAGCCACCTGTGGTGCTTCAGCTTCAGAATGATATAGTGGTGGACTACAATCTGGGATACCCAGGTTTCAATCCCCCCTCTGCTCTGGAAGTTTGCTGGGTGACCTTGGGCCAGTCACACTCTCAGCCTAACCCACATCACAGCATTGTTGTGAGGACAAAATGGAGAAATTAGCTGTTGTAGATAATCCGGGTTGTACAGCCATGGTCTTGGCATTGTAGGACCTGACGTTCCGCCAGTAGCTGTGACTGGCATCCTCAGAGGTATAACACAGAAGGATGGAGTACTCTCTCTGTCATCTTTGGAGTACTTGACACAGAGAGAGTACTCCCATCTTTCTGGGTTATACCTCTGAGGATGCCAGTCACAGCTACTGGCGGAACGTCAGGTCCTACAATGCCAAGACCACGGCCGTACAACCTGCAAAATCTACAACAGCTAATGAACTCGGGCTGTGAAAGCCTTTGACAACAAAATGGGAAATGTTGGGCCTCTTCACTGACATTCTCCTGGTTATGAAATGTGCTCCCTCTTTTCTTGCACTTCTCACTTCCTCTAGGGTTGCCAACCTCCAGGTGAGGCCTGGAAACCTCCCACTATCACAACTGATCTTTAGACAACAGAAATCTGCTGCCCTGGAGAAAGTGGCTGCATTGGAGGGGGGGCTACGGCCATGTGCCCTGATGAGGTCCCTCCCTTCCCTCCCCTTCTCCAAACCCCACCCACCCCAGGCTCCACCCCCAGTCTCTAGCTCTTTTCCCAGAGCTGGCAAAGATTTGTGAAGCACCACACACTTTTCTTTCCATGCTTGAGAGGAGACGGATAGCAGGGTCTCAATTAATTACTCTCAGCCTTCTACAGTGAAGGATACGTCTATTTTGACGTATTTATTTCCTTCACTGCTTTTGCCCCAGAATTGAAACCAAACAAATGGTTGCCATGTAAACTAAGCCTGTTATTCCTGTTTGGTCCTGGAATCTGTTAAACAGCTTCATTATGCTGTATGCTAATTTACTCTCTACCAATATGTATGGACTGGTAATTTCCAATTTTGTTTCTGACTCTCTGCTCTAATTGGCCCTTCCTGGCAACTAACCCCGCCCCCTCTCTTTCTGTATGTAATGGTTGAGGAAATCCTGTTTCACTGTATCTGAAGAAGTGTGTGTACCCATGAAAGCTCATACCTCGAATACAACTTTGTTGGTCTTAAAGGTGCCACTGGACTGAACTGTGTTCTACTTTTATTTCCAGAAGACCTTCTGATTCTTGCTCCCATGTTTCATCTCCAGCCTGATGGTCCCCTCTAACGGTGCAGAATGGAGCTTAGGCAGGGCTTATCTGCACTCTGCTTTAGTGTAGGTTACAAGTATACAGCTTTCACTGATTTTATATCTACTGACTCCACGTCACCTTATGCACAGTATAGGAGAGAGGTGGTATATATTCTAAATGAGGTCTCTGTCTCCATCTCAAAGAGACAGAGCCGCACTATAACAGTGTGTATTCCACAACAGCAAAGTTAAATACGGTTTGAAGACCAGCTTTCGATTTTGTTCTCACAGCTGGCTTGTGGTGTCACCCTCATGCAATCAGATCTACAGAGTGCAGTAATGAATTTGGGTCTCCTTTCAGAGCCTTACAGCATCGTCGATATCGCATACAACCCGTCTGTTCTCGAGGGGGGGAAGAACCCGTTAGAGGAGGACCAGCTGATTCGCTTGTCACTCAAGTTCGTCGAGGAGCGTTACAGCCTCGCTCTGTCCCCCACGTACAGTATGGCAAAGCGTAAGCTGAAAGGAAGCCTGGAAAGGATGAGGCACAGCTTGCGAGGAGGGCGGCCAACAGCGCCCCCTTCCGAAAAGAATGGTAAGCAGCTGTCCAAATCACAGGCAAGACTAAAAGCAAAGATGGGGTTCAGTTAACTTCTCCCTGAACTTCTGGGTTGGAGGCTCTTAGTTCGAGACCCGAGTGCCGCATGACGGAGTGAGCTCCCGTCCCTGGCCCCAGCTCCCGCCAGCCTAGCAGTTCGAAGCAAGAAATTGCAAGCAGATAAATCGGTACTGCTTTGGTGGGAAGGTAACAGTGTTCCGTGTGCCTCGGTATCTAGCCACACCGGCCACATGACCACGGAAACGTCTTCAGATAGCGCTAGCTCTTCGGCTTGGAAACGGAGATGAGCACACACACCCCCTAGAGTTGGGTTCGACTGGCTTTCGAGCAAGGCTTTACTTACTAGATCAGCCCACTGGTCCACCCGGTTGCTTTGGAGGACTGAACAAAGGGCAAAGAGGCCGAGGCCTTCCCCAGCTGCTGCCTCCCAGAGTGCTGGTATCTAGAAGTTGGCTGCCTTTGTGTAGAGATGTTCCCTTTGGTCACCATGGCTAGTAGCCACAGATGGACTTCCCCTCAGTGAATCTGCCTTATCACCTTTGCAAGCAGGTGGCCATCGCCGCATCCATTGGCAGCAATCTGTTGACCACGGATTTCTTCCACTAATAGCAGCACTAGAGATGTGAAGGCCAGGAAAAAAAACGGTAAAAATTTTTTTTGGGGGGGAAACGGGTTTTTTCCGTTTTTTTTCCTGAAGCCTTTTTGTTTTTTTCCAAATTGGAAAAATTGAAAAAAGAAAAAAAATGATTATGGAACGTTTTATTTTAACATGATGAATAAAATATTTTAAGACCAGGTGTTCAAATATTTTCCAAATCATTTCTAAAATATATATATATATGGTATCAGATTGATGTAATTTCTGTGCACTGAGGACAAGCAAGTCCTAGGTTACAAACTAAACTCTCCAATGCAAGAACAAAATGCATTTCTTCCTTTAGGAGGTGCGATTGTCAGAAGAAAATAAAAGTTTCAGTTTTGTTTTTGCATGTGGGTGGGTATTCTGTTTGTAATAATTGTTTGGATACACTATATTTTTAATAGGCTAGTTGCGATAATTTCATGCCAAGTAAAAATGTCCATAGTCATATTTTATGTTCCTAAAGTAACAGAATGACTTTCAAACTAGAAAAGACAAAAGAGGTGCTAATGTAGCATTTTTTTCCATTTTTCCGAAAATTTCCGTTTTTTCCCGTGCTTCAACATTTCCGGAAATTTTACATCTCTAAGCAGCACTGCCCTCTCGTGGCCAGGAGCCTTGCGGTAGGTGGGGGGGGGGGCTTGCATGGAAGGACAGTGCCACCATCAGTGGAAGAACCACGAGGCCCAGTGCCCTGCATAAGAAACACTGAAACATTGACAGTGCTGCTGCAACTCAGTATTTTTTTTTTGTACCTTGGGCCAGTCATACTCTCAGCCTAACCGACCTCACAGGGTTGTTGTGAGGATAAAAAGGAGATGGAAAGACTGTTATAAGCCACTGTTGTAACCCACTGGGGAGACACAGTTGGGGTACCAATGAAGTATAGAATCATAGAGTTGAAAGGGACCTCCAGGGTCATCTAGTCCATCCCCCTGCAGAAGTTTGTATAAATAAATACAAAATAAATACTTATTTACGTGTATACTAAATAGACACACAGTCTGTTACATAGAGGCTGACCGTAGGTTGCCCAGTACCAGTAAATTAACTCCTTTAGCTGCTAGCCCTAGAATTAAAAAAATTGGCATGAAGCAGGCAAAGGGCCATGAATTTGACACCTGTTACATACTGACACGGTCACCCATTCTAATATTTTTAAACCCCATGTATGAAAGGTTCCTTGCGGAAAGAGGTGACCCTTGACCAGCTGCGGAACATCACAGCACAGGCGGAAGACAGCAATCTGACTCTGCTTACCGAAAGGACCGTCCCCCGTAAAGCCTGCCTCATCGAGGAGATTTCGAGCGCAGAGCGGCCAGAGGAACCGAAGTCTCCGGCCTATGAAGTGACCACAAGGAAGGATGCCAGCGGAAGAGCCCTGCAGCTTGAAGTGAAAGTTGAAGTGCCAGCGGTGCGCCGCGTCTCCGAGTGTAACCTGAGCATTTCTAAGGTAGGTCAGAACGATGAATTACGGTCGGCCCCACCTGCTCCCCCCTCCCCCCACCACCAGTCCCTTATCGGTCTGGTGAGCCTGAGTCTCTGGTAGCAGTTCCACATCTTTGTTTACAGAAAGCTTTTCAGGAATGCAAGAGTAAATACTTGCACAGTTTCTAGCTGTCTCTGAAGAAGTGAGCAGTGACTCAGGAAGGCTCCTCCCCTGCCACAAATGTTGCTAGTCTTTAAGGTGCTCCTGGACTCCTCCTCTTTTCTGCGGCTACGGACAGACTAAACTGGCTACCCAGTTTCACCTGTTTCCACTCCGCCTTCCTCCCCAGCAGGGACCCAAGGCAGCTGACATCGTTCTCTCCTCCATTTTAGCCTCACAACAATCCCTGTGAGGAAAGTCGGGCTGAAAGAGGGTGACTGGCCCAAGGTCACCCAGTGAGCTCCCAGGGCAAAACTGGGGATTTGAACCCAGGTCTCCAAGACACCAGTCCAACAGTGAAACCACGACACCACACTGGCTCTCTCTCTTTCTTCATAACAACCCTGTAAAGTCAGTTAGGTTAGGTTGAAAGAGTATCTGGCCCAAGGTCACCCAGCGAGCTTCCATGGCATGATTCAGAATTTGAACCCGGGTCTCCCAGATACGTCTGGCACTCTAAACCACCACCCCACACTGGTTCTCCTTTACCACTCAAGCGATGCTGTCCGACACCCTGTTCCCCACAGTGACCTACCAGCTTCCCCCGACAGAGCCGGCCCCTATTTTTGCCCTCCCCCCCACCAAGGAGCCCTGGTCTTTGAAGCCTACTGCTTCTGAACATAGAGGTTCTTTCTTGTTTTAGGATGACCTGTTGATGGAATGCCCGCCTCAATACCGACTGCACCTGAGTCTGCCGGAGTCTGTGGAGGAAGAAGCCGCATCCGCAAGATTTTTCAAGAAGAAAGGGCTCCTGCTGGTCACGATGCCGGTTTGCCAACAGAACCAAGATCCGAGTACTGAGTGAGCAATTATTTTAAAGGGGTTAAGTGCGCTGGCTCTTAGCCCGCATTCACTCCTCTGAGCCTTTGAGCAGGAAGCTCAGCTGCTCTTTGAACAGACGCGGTGCGCTGTCTACCACTGCCTAGAGATAAGATGCACCACCAGTAACAATGGAGATGCTGTCAGCAACAATGGCTATACGCATAATATCCCTTAGCCCTCCTTCAGTCTCTACTCTATACTGGGCAAACCGTAAGAGATAACCACATGAGCCTTATAAAGCAATAGCAAACTGTATACCGCTGAACAATTCCTACATTAACGGGAACAATAAAACACAGTAAAATTCTATGCTTCCCATGGTTTCTAGGATTGAAAGTACACCCGTGCCCTCTTCTCAAGAGTGCTGTTGCTTAGCTGGGGATATCAAATGTAAAGGTTTTCCCTGGCATTGCCCAGGGATTACCTGCAGATGGGCTGTTTAGATCTACGGGAAACAGACCACTCACCACAGTTGCCCCCCCCCCCCGATCCGAAAATTGACTTTGAGTCTCTCCAGACACAAAGGTGCTCCTGCTGGTTCAGGAGACAAGAAAGAACCTCTGGGCTGCTGCACTCTCTGTTCTGATAGGGCTGTCCGTAAGGCAGACAAGAAGCTGCCTTGTACGGAATCAGACCCTCGGTCCGTCAAGGTCATTACTGCCTACTCAGACTGGCCACGGCTCCCCAGGATCTCGGGCAGAGAGAGGTCTTCACATCACATCCTGCCTGGTGCTTTTAACGGGGGGTTGAAGCGGGGACCTTCTGCATGCCAAGCAGCTGCTCTTCCACAGCCCCTCCCTCTCACGGCCCCTTGCAAAACAGTCAAGTTTCGATTATTCCAAAGAAAAGGCTTCAGTGAACCTGGATCCTAAAAAATAGCTCAGCAGCCCATCCACAGCTCGCATGAAAAAGCCTCTCCCTACAACACGTCCCCCTCCTCAGGCAGGAAAAGGTTTGGGTTAATTTTTTTCTGAGGTGGGTGTCAATCCAGCAAGGTAAGCCGTCTTCCCAAGCCATATGAGCCGCAGGGTCAGCTGTGTGTGCATTGCACACGTCTGTAACACAAACACACACAGACACAAAGAAAGCACCGGGGACCAGGAAGAGCAGGGCTGATCAATTCCAAATGTTTAATGGAACACAAGGGCCCACAGGCCCAGTTTGGAACGAAGGACATTCTTAAAATTCATTTTTAGTGCAACCTGCTTCTTTACCAAAAGATTGTAGGCTTAAATTTCAACCAAAATCAGAAGGGGGAAAAAAAAACACTGTTAGGTGGTCTCACAAAAATATTTTTACCTCCACAGTATAACCTCTTTCTGAATATTTAGTGGATTTGGGAAGCACAACTTTACAAGAGACGATACTTAATGCACTGCGTATGGTACAGAACGATTCCAGGGTCAGTTTACGCTCTCTCGGTCATGTCGCACGGCAGCAGCTACACATGATCCTCTTTTGGAACGCAAACCAGGGGAGTGTTTTGCACTTTTACACCCTTCCCACTATAGGACACAGTGATAAATGCACCTTTGGGCACAATCTGGAAAGGAAACCATTTCCTACCACTCAATTTTTTACACTATTTACATGGCCAAAGAAATCCTGCCACTTCCAAGGCTTGGATGGCCAAGATAGCGATGCTGCAGCACCAGCAGCATCTCTGGTCTCAAGAAAGAGAGCGGCCCCCAACTGGAACTGGGACTTTGGCCACCACTGAACTCGCGAAGGGAAGCTGAGCACCCCTATCTTTCTCTGGGTTACAGCCAATAAGGACAACCGACCAGGGGCTTCTCTGCTGCACAGTCCTGGGGTTTAAACAAGGGGAACTGTGACCTTACATTCATGTCAACAGCCTGGATGTCACCCTGCAGTTCCGCCTTCAGTCTCAACACCCATCAGAATTTCCTCTCTTACCTTGCCTGGGGGGAAAAAATCCAAATGCAGAAATAGAGATGACACCATTTTTTTTTTAATCGCACCGTTCCCCTGAACCACATCTCCTGTTCAGAAGTGAAGCAGCATCTTAACTATAAAATGAAGGCCTGAGTGGGGGCGGGAAAGTGGAGTCTTGCAAGTTCTCCGGAAGAAGCATATTTTCAGAAACGGTTCAAACAAAATTTCTGCAGGTACAGTGGGGGACAGAACAATGCATTCCCTTTTGCATTAAAGTGCTTTCAAAGGGTTCCTGCAACTAGAAAAACCTGAATACATGCTGAATTCCCAAAGTAAACTGGAACGTGAACCATCAGGAGGCCCGTGTTCTGCTCCGTCCCTCACTAAACATATGCTAGTCTAGAGGACAGGAGGACAGAGAGGCCAGGCGGGTCCACTTTCCGTGATCAAATGGCAATTTCTTCACCGCCCCTTTCAGGTCTCTCTCTCTCTCTCCCTTTTCTTCTTAAAGCTTTTTGCAATCCAGCTTGCTTGCTTTTGGGAACTCAAAAGGGGCCTTCGGACGGCTGGGCCAGGCCTGGCCGGGCCTTTGTTCCCATGATCAGAAAGAAGCACGAGCTCCTCACATGATTCTACACAGCTGGTACGTTGTAAGAGGGGAAAGCCTGCAAATTCATCCACTGTACAAAATACAGCATTCGCTGGACTTGCTTCTGGAAAGTGCTGGCAAGCTAGTAAATCTGTACAGCTGGCAATAAAAATTACCAGCAACCGTAGGTATATTTATATATTTATATATATATTTGTTTAAAAAATAAAGAAAGGAACATTTGAGGGGGGGGAGGTGGGGATTATAGCAACATGGTGGCCGGCTTCTGCAGGAACTTCTTGAACTCGGCGAGCCACTGGGCTCCGACAGCCCCGTCCACAACACGGTGGTCGCAGCTCAGGGTCACTGACATCACGCTGGCCACGTCGAACCTGGGTGGGGAGAGAGGGCCCGGGTGCTTAGCTCTCTGAAAACCCAGCCCAGAAAAGAAAGTCCTGGTCCAACCTACTGTTTTGTTCAAAAAACCCTCTCTTCAGGTTGCAGCTGCACTTCTTGAGCTTTCTTGAACCCAAATCTGTCTGGATGAATACACAAAGCTGCCTCTGATCTCCTCGCTTATCATCGCCTGCTCGGACGGGCAGCGGCTCTCCAGCAGACTGAACACTGGCAGGCTCTTCCCGATGAAACCAAAGCTCCCCCCCCCCTTTACTTATTTTTTATTTCCCATGTTTATAGCCCACCTGTACACAGGGTGAGCTGAAAAGTCTATATGAAGAGACATCCAGGAAGCACGCTGGATGTTGATACAGTCAATGTGAGGAGACATCAAACGAGCAACGTACTAGGAGTGCCGAAATGTGAAAGAATAGAGCAGGGGCGGCCAAACTGTGACTCGGGAGCCACACGTGGCTCTTTCGCACATGTTGTGTGGCTCCCGGCAGGGCAGCTGAGAAAGCGAAGGGGAGGTGTGCCTCCCCGATTGGTCTTCCCTTCCCCAGCCATTGTTCCCCTTCCTGGCTTGAGACGGGGGGGGGAGCAGAAAAAGAAAGCCACTCTAAATGCGTTCTCAAAGACCCAGCCCTACAAATATCATTGCACAAATAAATGTCATCATCAATATCTATTTTTGTCCCTTTTGTTTTTATTTCTGGCAGTCTCATTTAACGTTAATAAAAAGCAAATCTGCCTATTTCCCAATAAAAACACGTCTGCAATATTTGTTCATGTCATGCGGCTCTCAAACATGTGACGTTTACTCCATGTGGCTCTTACGTTAAACAAGTTTGGCCACCCGTGGAGTACAGCATATTATACCTGATACAGAGTGTGGATATAATGAAGGAGAACGGTATTTCATCAGTAGCCACTTTAAGAACATAAGAGAAGCCAATGCTGGATCAGACCAAAAGCCCATCCAGTCCAACACTCTGTCACACAGTGCCCAGAAATACCAGCGCCATCAGGAGGTCCACCAGTGGGGCCAGGACATTAGAAGCCCTCCCACTGCTGACCTTTCAGATTCCTGGTTTCTGAATTACGTTGCACTGATGTTGAAACTATTACAGTGTACCCTCAACTGACTGTGCACCAGGGTCCTCCTTTGGCTAACACTGGTTATGTCAGAGAAAGACAGTGTCAAAACATCCAGAACTAGTGCCACAAGCAGCCCAGTCCTGTGCACGCACACTTGGAAGCGTGCTTTGGACAGTATCTGATGAAAGCTTGGGTTTTACAGTCTTTTTTTGAACCCACTGATTGGTTAAGGATCTATGCGTCCTTTTGCACTGCCTCAGATTACGTCACTGAGGATTCTGCAGGGGAGAAGAGGCCGTTCAGGCAAACTGCAAGTGAAGAAGAAAGCATCGGCCCCGTCTTCCCCACGAATGATGGAATGTCCCCTTTGACTGTAATGCCCCAACGCTGCTCCTGTACGCACTGGCTCGTACCTAAGGTATCTAAACACACTTACCCCTTTTCATTATCTGCCGGCACCAGCCGTTTCTCAGAAGCACCAACGGCCAAAATGCAAGCCTGTGGAGGATTGATGATGGCAGAGAAGTTCTTGATGCCGTACATCCCTAAATTGGAGACCGTGAAAGTTCCACCCTGTCAAGAAACACACCGTAGTTGTAATTTTAAAAAGCAGGGCTTTTTTGGTAGAAAAAGCCCAGCAGGAACTCATTAGCATAACAGGCCACACCCCTGACAGTGCTGCTCATTAGCATATTAGACCACACCCCATGCCTTCCCTTGGCTTGCCCGGGCAAGGCCCCCCCCCCCGAAAGAAAGGGAAGGCAGTTTAAACTGCCTTCACTTGGCTTGCCTGGGCGCCCCGTGGCTGCAGGGTGCCCGGGCAAGCTGGCCTTTGGACAGGCCAGGGAAGACACGGGGAGGCATTTAAAGGCCTCCCCGATCCTTCCAGGGCCCCCCTGGCCCCCCTGCCTCAGAGTCACGGGGGTTACTCTCCAGGCCTTCCCTCTGTAGCCACGCACGCAAAGGTTTTGGGTGTCGTGGGCGTGGCCAACTCTGAAGCCAGCCGGAACTCCGTTCCTGTGCGTTCCTGCCCAAAAATAGCCCTGCTAAAAAGCCATAAATAAATAAAATAAAAAAGGAAACAGTGTCGTGTTCCAGGTCATTGTGCCTGGCAGGTTGTCACCTCTGCAAAGGAAGAGGACACATGAACACATGAAGCTGCCTTACACTGAATCGGAACCTCGGTCCATCAAAAGTCAGTACTGTCTACTGAGACTGGCAGCAGCTCTCCAGGGTCTCAGGCGGAGGTCTTTCACATCATCTATTGCCTAGTCCATTTTAAAACTGGAGATGCCAGGGATTGAACCTGGGACCTTCTGGATGCCAAGTAGATGCTCTACCCGCCGAGCCACAGCCTCTCCCCTAAACACTCTGCAAATCTGCTTCCTAGACAGCCATACAAGCTCAAGTCTCTCTGGACATCCAGACTGCAGTGGCGGCTTTGGGGAGGCGCTCCCGGTCCACACTCCTCACCTGAAATTCATGCGGCTGGAGCTTGCCCTCGCGAGCTTTGGCGGCCAACGTCACAACATCTTGGTTAATGGAAGCCAGTCCCTTTATATGCGCATTAAACACAATTGGAGTTATGAGCCCCGCTGGGGTACTGACTGCAACGTTGACGTCCACCACGTGATTCCTGGAAGAGGCACAAAGAAGAAACAAGTAAGACCGGGGGGGGGGGGGGGGGAGAGTGGCAGGAACTCCTTGCAGCCGATCCCTGCCTGCCTTCTCCAAACCCTTCCGACCTCACTTGCTTGCATGAGAAGTTCCGTAACAACCAGCCACAGCCCCCAGGGTGCTCAGAGGGCTCCGGCGTGCTCTTAGGTGCAGCCGCTCGTTATCGAGAACTCTTTAGGTCATCTTAGGGCTGATCACTTACTGCCTAATGACTGTGTCCAGCCAAGAGGAATTTGCTTCAGGCACCTTCAGGCAAGCCAGCGCTGCGGCCTTAATAATGAAGTCGTTGACAGAGAGCTTAACCTTCTCCGGCGTCTCCTGCAAAGACAAGAAAGCAGAGGGCGATGTGTGCTGAACGGCTCATTCTCCAGGGCTGCTCTGAAAGGGAGGGCCAGTGCTTCTTCCCACCATGGTCCCCCACCTAACCACAAGGACGGCAAGAGACAAGGACCCTGTGCAGGCCTTATTGAGGGAATGTAATCCTTAACGCCAGGAAGAACCAGTTTGGCGTAGTGGTCAGAGCGCCAAGCTAGGATCCGGGAGACCCAGATTCAAATCCGCAATCAGCCACGGAAGCTCGCTGGGTGTCCTTGGGCCAGTCACTCACTCCCCATTTAACCTACCTCACAGGCAATGCTCCCTCTAAGCTGTGGAGTCCTGTGAGCAAAAATTCTACTTTGTGAGCTACTGGCATTAAAGTTGTGAGCAGGTGGACATGGCTCCTGCATAAATTAGTTTGCTCTGGAGCCCTCCTTCCTGAGCGGAGACAAAAATGGGTGAGCCGGAAGCTTAAAAAAGTGAGCTAGCTCACACTAACTCAGCTTAGAGGAAACACTGCTCACAGGGTTGTGAGGATAAAATGGAGATGGAGAGACTGTTGTAAGCCACTTTGGGTCCCCACTTGAGAGCAAAGTGGGGTATAAGTTGACTAAATTCCTCAGAGCAAACAGGAGCCGAAGTAGGCCGAAGTCTTCTCACAGGCTGGCTTGCAAAGGTGCAGCCCTCCGTCCCCGAGAGAGCCAGTCTGGTGTAGTGGTTAAGTGCGTGGAGAACCGGGTTTGATTCCCCACTCCTCCACTTGCACCTGGCTGGATGACCTTGGGCAAGCCACAGTTCTGTCAGAGCTGTTCTTGAAAAAGAGCAGTTTCTGTCAGAGCTCTCTCGGCCCCGCCTACCTCCCAGGGTGTCTGTTGTGGGGAGGGGAAGGGAAAGGAGTTTGTAAGCTGCTCTGAGACTCGGGCAGGGTATAAATCCAACTCTTACTCCTCCTACTCCTCCTCAGGGTCTCCCCTCCTCCTTTCAGAGCAAGCGGCTCACTCTTCTCCCTGAGCAGGAATTCCAGACAAGAGGCCTGCAGAAGGTGGCTTGAACCACCTCTCCTCAATTCGGCCCTGATGACACATTTGGCCAGGGACTGAAACCCGTCCCCTCCCCTAAGCTTCCTCTGAATTAGAGTGCACTGTGCGCTTCCCATCTCAGGTTGCATGTCCTCAGATCTGGGCCAAGAATGCACAGCAGGGGGGAACCTGACACTTGAGGGATGCACGTGGGCCCCTAAATAACATGCAGGAATTCCCATGGAAGGCAGGCAGGGCGCATACAGCCCGCTTCAGCGTCTCGTCTGCCGCACGAGGGAAGCTCAACGAAACATTAAACCATCACTGAGAGAGGCAAGAAGCAGCCCGCTTCCACCCAGGAGGTGCACGCCAATTCCCTCTCCTGCCCCCCCCCAAAAAAAACGCGCTCAGACGGCCTCAGTAACAGCAAGTTACCTGGTTGAGCTCTTTCCTTAGCACCAGGATTTCTCCCATGTCGATATCAACAGAGAGGTAGTAATGAGGTATCGTTTGCTTGGATTGCATCAAGCGCTGAGCGATCACCTGCGAGCAAGGACAAAGGTTAAAGGTCTAACGCAGGCCTGGCCGACCCTGGAAGCAGGACCGACCGGACCGCTACTTTCTTCAGGTGGAGGACACCACGCTGGAATATTCCCCCTGGGATGTTTCTCGCAAGCAGAAAGCTAGCAGATATTGAACGGGAAATTTTTTATCCTTGCCAACTTTGCCTTCTGTCTGTTTTTTAATGAGCACGGATTGCTTTTGCACGTAGGAGCGTCTGAAAATGGTATTCGGCCTACCCGTAACTTGAAAAGGTACAGCTGGGTTTGAGTCCAGGAGCCCCTTAGAGACCAATAAGATTTTTTTTTGGGGGGGGGGGTAGAAGCTTTTGGGCGTCAAACCAGTCCCTTCGTCAGATAACCTGCCTCAGAGAGCTCTGGCTCTCGAAAGCGCCTGCCCGGAAAAGTCCCGTTGATCTCGAAGGGGCTCCAGGACTCAAATCTGGCTGTTCTACCGCAGACCGACACGGCTGGCCTCTGAGACGCCCTTCTTGAAAGGCTCTCGTCCCTCCTACGCCCTTATTTGGTGGCATGGGGACATCGGGCCTTTGTACGGAGCCAGAGAGGACGCTGTGATGCAGGGGTGGCCAAACCTGCTTAATGGAACGGCCACACAGGATAAACGTCAGATGTTTGAGAGTCGCAAAGACGTGAACCGATATCACACACACGTTTTTATTGAAAAACATGCAAATTTGCTTTTTGTTAACATTAAATGAGACCGTGTGAAAGAGCCGCGTATTGCAGTTTGGCCACCCCAGCTGTGAGGTATTATCCGGAAGCTGCAGCTGGTGCAAAACACCGCGGCCAGGTGGTTGATGGGAATCCCGATTCGGGACCAAATCCAACCTGTGCTAAAGACGTTGTACTGGCTGCCTATAGCGTACCGGGTCCGCTTCAAGGTGCTGGTTTTGACCTTTAAAGCCCTTTATGGCCAAGGTCCTGCATACCTAAGGGATCGCCTTTCCCCGTATGTTCCCCAAAGGACACTGCGATCGGGGTCCCAGAACTGGCTGGTCCCCCCAAGTTTCAAGGAGGCCAGACTGGTGGCAGCTAGGGCCAGGGCTTTCTCGGTGGTGGCTCCACTCCGGTGGAATGAGCTCCCGGAAGAGACTAGGGCCCTGCGGGACCTTTCACAGTTCCACAGGGCCTGTAAGACAGAGCTCTTCCGCCAGGCTTTTGGAGCCACCACCATTAACAACCACTAACACCGCCACCGCCAAAAATTAATACCGACTTAGGCGGAGCCCTGGCCCGTAGGTCCCTCAAACATAGCCAGTGCCAATGACCTGAGATAGCCACAGAAGGCCGAAGACCCAATTGGGATAATGAGGATGTTGCTAGCACTTTATCTTGTTTGAATTTTAATGTCATATTTATTAATGTATGTGATTTTGTTATGATTGTTGGATGCGAATTTTATTGTTGTAAGCCACCCTGAGCCAGCCTCGGCCAGGAGGGCGGGATAAAAATTTAATAAATAAATAAATTTCCTCAACACCCTCCCTCTCCCACAAACCCACCTCAGCACCCAGGGGAGAAGGACTGTCCAGCAAAGCCCCGGCTCGGGCTCTGAAGCAGAGATCTGGCAGCCCCTCTGTGAAGGGGGAAGGACCGGCTCTTTACCTTGCGAATATTGGTGATTGGAATATCGGTGAAGGCGCCTATGGAAGGGGCCACAGCAGCTGCCGCCGGTGCAGCCAAAGGAGCTGCTGCAGGTGCCCGGGCCTGTCAGGAGAAAAGGTTTTCAGTTAACAGAGACGGGGAGCGGAGAAGAGCCACCCAGCCACCACCACCCCTGAGAGGGAAGGTGACGATTCATTCCTTTTCAGGTATGCCACTGGATGGGTTTTGAAGTCTCCTCCTTATCCCGCATCCAAAAGACAGCAGTTCTGAAACCCTACTGCCGCCCCCTTTCGTGACTCTCCGCAGTGCACCAGAAAAAGGCAGCTCCCGATCCCCCTGCATTCAGTGCAGTTTAACTAACTGAGAGCCCCGGGTGTGGGGGGCTGCAGGCAGAACAGGGCTGGGAAGGCGAGGGAGCTGGCAAGCAGGGAGGCTGCAGGGGATACGGCACCCACAGCAGTGTTCCCTCTAAGCTGAGTTAGTGTGAGCTAGCTCAGTTTTTTTAGCCTCCGGTTCACCCATTTTTGTCTTAGCCCAGGAAGGACGGCTCCAGAGCAGCCATATCGCTCACTCGCAACCTTAATGCCATTAGCTCACAACAAGGTAGAATTTTGCAATGTTCCCTCTAAGCTGTTGAGTCTTGTAAGCAAAAATTCCACTTTGTGAGCTACTGGCATTAAAGTTGTGAGCAAGCGGTTTGGCTGCTGCCTCAATTAGTTTGCTCTGGAGTCATCCTTCCTGAGCTAAGACAAAAATCTGTGAGCTGGAGGCTAAAAAACCGTGAGCCAGCTCACACTAACTCAGCTTAGTGGGAACACTGGTCACAGGACTCCACAGCTTAGAGGGAACATTGCTCCAGAGCCGCCACCCCCCCTGAGCTGAGACAAAAATGTGTGAGCTGGAGGCTAAAAAACTGTGAGCTAGCTCACACTCACTCAGCTTAGTGGGAACGCTGGTCCAGACCCAGCCCGGGCAGAAAAGACGTGTGGCCAGAGAGCAGGCTGTACTCACCGGGGCAACCTTGGATGGCACAAACGATTCGATGTCTTTCTTTGTGATCCGCCCGTCTGGTCCCGTGCCTGGGGTGGGCGTGGAACACAAACATTTTAAGCAATACCCGGGGGGAGGGGGGGGCTGCCTGGCTCGGCTGCCCCAGCCGTCAGAAGTGTGCTGAGGGCCGCCACTCACCTTTCACTTGTGACAGGTCAATTCCTTTCTCTGCCGCCAGCTTCTTTGCCAGGGGGCTGACGACCACCCGGCCTCTAGGCGTGCTCAGTTTAACTGAAGCGGGGGCTGCCGACGGGGGCGGTGGAGGAGCGGCCGCCTGGGGGAAAGGATAAGGCATGGTAGGTCGTTACCGGCTGGCTTGCGAGCACCTTTAAGTATCCCCTAGTGCACCTTTCCCAACCTGGGCATGAGTCTGTAGCACAAATGGACAGGTGGTGGGCTGGGGCATCATGCAGACCCTTCCAGTCCAACAGCCAGCGGAACGAGGGGTCTGTGCTAGCACGGGCACGGTCTGAGAGGGCAGGATCCCAACGGGAGCTGGTCAGGGAGCCACTCTTCTTCAGAAGAGGGGTGAGAGAGAAGAGACGGGATTGCACAGGACGGAACGATTGTCAGAAGTGGGCTTGAACACCTGTGTGTTGGAGAAAATGTAGGGTGGAGGGGCCCTATATACATGGTTGGCTCCTCTGCCCGGTTCTACAAACTTTCTGGAAGACGGTTCTTGACAACATAAAGTTAATTACTGGACATTCCCTATATTTCACGCCTGAATGCTTATTATTAGGTCTGGAGTTGGTGGGAGACCACTATTCTTATACAGAACAATGTATTTTGATGATTTTGCTTTCGGCAGCCAAATCTTCTATTGCCTCGTTTTGGAAAGTGTCTTTGTCTCCTCCCCGGGATCTGTGGTGAAAAAAGATTTGAGAGCAATACCTGCAGGCCAAGATTGCCTTTAATACTATGAATCCACCCTCTCCTCTAGAGCTGTAATCACTTTCAAAAACACCTGGCGGCCCCTATTAACCTTCTTATCACGTTATAAAGAAATTCCAATGAATCTGTGTACTAGCTTTAAGAATATGTAGTTTTATCTAAAAGTGCAATTAATGAATGTATCTATTGAAATCCTATATGGAAAATTATAGTAAGACTTTGAAAGAAGGAGGAGGAGGAGGAGGAGGAGGAGGAGAAGAAGAAGAGGAAGAGGAAGAAGAGGAAGAAGAGGAAGAAGAAGAAGAGGAAGAAGAAGAGGAAGAAGAAGAAGAGGAAGAAGAAGAAGAGGAAGAGGAAGAAGAGGAAGAAGAAGAAGTAGTAGTAGTAGTTAGTAGTAGTGGACTGAATGCTCCAAGCTCAACAGACAGCCAAGCCACCTTGCAAGGAACACCTTCAACTCTAAACTGACTCAGTCCCCTCACAAGGAAGTGTTTGAGAGGGCAGACCAATCTGGCAAATAGGCTGCAGAAGCCAGACTGCCAATCCCCGAGGAGGACTGACTTGGGGGCAAGGGGGGAGCGTACTTCCATTTCCAAAACCCTCCTGTGCAAGGAAAGGAATTCTGAAGAATCTGGGCTCAAGTGGACACCCTGGTCGGGGACCTCATGATTCCTCTCCCCACCACAGAAGGCCCCCCAGAGGTCGTCCTTACAGGGCTCGGAGGCAAGGCCCTCGGTGGGGTTGGGGGCCTGACGTCAGCAGCTCCGACATCCTTGTAGTCAGCAAACGCTGGAATGTCCGACTCCTTCTCCACAATGATACAGAGCGGCGTTCCCAACGGCACGTCCCTCGTGCCTTCTTCCACCAAGATTTTGGCCAAATATCCTTCTTCTTGTACTTCAAAGCCTTAAAGGGGGGGGGGGGGAAAGAGAAATTGTTTGGAGAAAGAATCAACACTCACAATTCCCACTGCACAAAAATCCGCTAAAGCCACATGCTTACATTCATGCACACAAATTCTGTGTAAACTGCAAATACGTGTGGGGAAGGGATTGTCTTGAATTTATCAAGTCCTGGACAATTTTTAGCCAAAAGCTTCACTGCTAGAAGACACGAAAAACTCATGAGGCTGCCTTACACAGAGCCAGGATTATTGGTTCAGCAAGCTTGGTACTGTCTACTCTGACAGACGGCAACTCTCCAGGATCTGAAAGGTCTTTTCCCATCCTGCGGCCAAGGCCCTTTAACTGCAGATGTCAATGGGCTCTTATCGCTGAGCTATGGTCCCTTCTACGAAGCAGCCTCAGTCAGACTGTTAACCCATCCGGCCCGAGTGTCGGCGGCTCTCCCGGGTCCCAGGCGGAAAAAGATCTCTTCCTGCACCTGCAGCCCTTTAACTGGAGACGCAGAGACCGGAAGTGGGAACTCCTGCATGCAAACCAGGTGTTGTACGTCACCAAGCCGTGGCCCGTCACCGGGGGGGGGGGCACCTTTTTGAAATGCAAACAGAAACCATCCCTCACAGCTTGCGTCGAGGGTTCAGAGATGTCTCACCTATCGTTGCTTTGTCGGTCTCAATTTCGGCCAGCAAGTCTCCTTCGCTCAGCTTCTCACCGACTTTCTTCTCCCACCTCTGAACGGTCCCCATCGTCATGGTGGGCGAGAGGGCGGGGAGCATGATCTAGGGAAATAAGAGTGCACACACACGGGATCTCAGTGACCCAGGGGCAACAAATACAGACGCATGAGGTCTGGCCAACGGGGTGGTTCTTCACCCAAAGAGTGATTAGCACATGGAATTCACTGCCACAGGAGGTGGCGGCGGCTACAAGCATGGACGGCTTCAAGAGGGAACTGGATAAACACACAGAGCAGGAGTCCATCGGTGGCTCTTAGCCACAACGTATAGAGAGGAACTCTCAGGCTGGGGCAAGGGATGCTCTGTGTTCTTAGTGCTTGGGGGGGTCAACAGTGGGAGGGCTTCTAGTGTCCTGGCCCCACTGCTGCACCTCCTGATGGCCCCTGGTATTTTTGGCCACTGTGTGACAGTGATGGACTGGATGGGCCATTGGCCTGATCCAACACTGGCTTCTCTTATGTTCTTATCTCTCCTCTGGCTTCCTTACATGGGGTATCGATGAAAGGTGGTACCTGGAGGCTCTTCTCCTTCCTGCACAGACTCTAGTTCGCTAAACAGCCCCTCCTGATACCTTCGCAGAAGGGGAAGAAAGGCTGTGACACAAGGGAGGTTTCCCTCCCACCCACCCACCCCCCAGGGGGGCAGCCCACGTCATACCGACAGCTCCCCCCACATCAGCGTTCCCTCCAAGCTGAGTGAGTGTGAGCCAGCTCACAGTTTTTTAGCCTCCGGCTCACACATTTTTGCCTTCGCTCAGGAAGGAGGGCTCCGGAGCAAACTGATCGATGCAGCCGCCAAATCGCTGGCTCACAACTTTAATGCCAGCGACTCACAAAGTAGAATTTCCGCTCACAAGACTCCACAGCTTAGAGGGAGCGTTGCCCCACGTCCTTCAAGGCTGGACTACTTATTCTCCACTTGCACAGCAAGGACAGACTGATAAGACTCCCGCTGCTTCTGCTTATGGCTTGCCAAGATTTTACAGTATAAGAAAGAATTAGGAAACCTGGCAAGCAAAAAAAGGATAACCTAGGAAAGATACAGATGCAGACGGATGACGGCCGATGCGGTACCTGCATGTGGGGAGGAAAAGAGCTGCCCGGAGCCTGAGCGGAAGGCTGAGCTGGTGGCGGTGTGGGGGGAGCCGCTGGTGCTGCTGCCGCCGGTGGAGGGGGAGGCACTGAGGCTGCGGGGGCCGCAGAATCCAAGGCAAAGTTCTTGAAGGCATCAACAAGCTCTGGCCTAGCGGAAGGCAGGGAGGAGACATGAGCCCACACAGAGGGGAGAGACGGGGCACGGGGATGGCGGCACCCAGGAGACCCCCCACGCCCCTGAACAACCACACAGTTGGTGCCGTGCACAACACAGAAGAGGTGTGTTCCCTTGTCCAACCAGGCAGAAAGGACAGAGGCCCAATGGGAAGGCTTGGAAAAGGTGCCCTCAGCCTCCTTTGGAAGAGGCTTGGAAAATACATGCTCAGGACCTGCTCATTTGTTTGCAAAACTTCTATGCTGCCTTTCCACCTGATCAGGGAACCCCAAGCATTGGAGAAATTAAAAGCAACATTTAAAATTTTTAAATTACACCATGAAAACACATAAAGAGACAATGCCAAAACCAGAGAGGAGGACCAATAACGGTTACTTGGGGTATGCCAAATGAATCAAAAATATCTTCACCCGCTGGCAGAAGACATCCATAGAAGAGGAGGAGGAGAAGATTGGATTTATACCCCGCCCTTCACTACCCAAAGGTGTCTCAGAGCGGCTTACAAACTCCTTTCCCTCCCCCTCCCCACAACAGACACCCTGTGAGCAGTGTTCCCTCTAAGCTGAGTGTGAGCTAGCTCACATTTTTTTAGCCTCCAGCTCACAGATTTTTGTCTTAGCTCAGGAAGGATGGCTCCAGAGCAAAGTAATTTATGCAGTAGCCAAACTGCTTGCTCACCACTTTAATGCCAGTAGCTCACAAAGTAGAATTTTTGCTCACAAGACTCCACAGCTTAGAGGGAACATTGCCTGTGAGGTAGGTGGGGCGAAGAGAGCTCTGACAGGAACTGCTCTTTTTCAAGGACAGCTCTTGTCAGAACTACAGCTTGCCCAAGGCCATCCAGAAGAAGAAGAAGAAGAAGAGATTGGATTTATATCCCACCCTTCACTACCCAAAGGTGTCTCAGAGTGGCTTACAAACACCTCTCTCTTCCCCTCCCCACAACAGACACCCTGTGAGGTAGGCGGGGCTGAGAGAGCTATGAGAGAAACTATTTTTCAAGAACAGCTCTTATCAGAACTACGGCTTGCCCAAGGTCATCCAGCAGCTGCAAGTGGAGGAGTAGGAGAATCAAACCCGGTTCTCCCACATTAGAGTCTGCGCATGTAACCACTGCACCAAACGAGAAGGTTCAAATTGCAACACATCAGCCACAGAAACCACAACACAGGATTGCCTCTGAGCGGCCTGCTCACACTTCAGGGAATTCGGGAAAAGGGATTCCTAGTCGATTTGAGATGTGGCACAGTTAGCCAGGTTAGGCCTGTGCCTATGGAACAAGGCTTTGGAAGTCCAGAAAAGGTTTCACTGCTGCTGATGAGGGCTACAAGGCAGAAAAGGAAAAGGCGAGGGATTGACAGAACGGAAAGGGTCAAAAGGGGGTGGCAGAAACGAAGAAAAGAAAAGCAGGTGGCCGCAGGAAGCGAGGGAGCCCCACAAAGCCAGCCACAAGCCTACTACTCACTTGTCCACTGTGATGCATATGATGGCTCCGATGGGAACGTCCCGTGTCCCTTCCGCCACCAGGATCTTGGCCAGGTAGCACTCTTCCATGCACTCGAACCCCACCGTCGCTTTGTCTGTCTCCACCTTTACGTGCAGACAACCGTTTGGTTACAGCAAAGGAACCCCCAGAATGCCTCCAGAGCTTCACCCCGCCAGCCCCCCCAGTATCAAGGAGCCTCCCTGCTGAGACTACTGCAAGGACCCAGTCTCGCCCCAACCGCAGGGGATGATGGCAACAATCACAAGGGATTCGTCCAGAATTCATCGCTTCATGTGAAATGCGGTGTTGGGAGAGGGTTTTACAGGTGCCGCTTACCGCCAAAAAGGCACATCAGTGGGTTAGAGATCAAACCAAGCCTGAACTCTCCCTGGAAGCTAAAATGACTGAACTGAGACTATCGTATTTTGGTCACGTTACGAGAAGTCACTGGGAAAGGCAGAAATGCTGGGCAACGTTGTAGGTTGCAGGGAAAGTGGAAGACCCAACATGAGATGGGCCGATTCCATCCAGGAAGCCACAAAGGCCCTCCGCTTGAAAGACCCGAGCAAGGCTGTTAATGACGGGGCATTTTTAATGTCATTAATTCATAGATTTATTTATAAATTCGGTTTATAGCTCTCCCTCCCCGCAGCACAGGCTCAGGGCGGCTCACAATCAGCACAAGCCTCACATAAAACAATTAAAAACATTTAAAATCAATCAACATATTTCGACATTATTAAGTGCTCTCGATGTTCAAATTAAATTACCATAAAGATGGCGTATTAATGCTGTTATTTCCACTCAGTGCCATCTGTTCCGCTTAGCGCTATCGATATTTCTTCCAGGGCCAGATCGTAATGATGGTACAGTCGTGGCGGCTCCTACTCAAACGCCTGGCGGAAGAGCTCCGTCTTGCAGGCCCTGCGGAACTGTGCGAGGTCCCGCAGGGCCCGGATCTCCTCCGGGAGCTCGTTCCACCAGGTAGGAGCTGCCACCGAAGATCCATCAAGATGGATACCGTGTTAGTCTGTCTATAGTAGTAGAAAAGAGCAAGAGTCAAGTGTTGCCTTGAAGACTAACAAAATGCGTGGCAGGGGAGGAGCTTTCGTGAGTCACGACTCAGCCCCTCCCCTGCCACAAATTTTGTGAGTCGTTAAGGTGCTCCTGGACTCTTGCTCCGTTCCATTCACAGAGTGGCCACAAAGAGACTTGGCAGCACTTAATGCGCACACAGGGCATGAGGCAACCTTCTTCTGTGCCAGAACCTTGACCAATCAAGATCTATGACTGGCAGCAGCTCTCCAGGGCCTCAGGCAGCGAATGAGCCTTCACAAGTGTCAGCTAGCTGCCATAGAAGATTGAGAGCTGTTGGTCCCCCCCCCCTCGCTCACCGGGCATCTGCGCATGCCCTATCTTCCCTGTGTATAATCTTCTCTCATGCATTCCTGTCTGCAAATGCTAGGCAACGCTTATCAGCAAGATTAACAGGTGTGTGGGGAGAGCTGCTTTGCTAACTGTATAATGAACTGCACCGTGTGAAGCTGTAATTGTTTCGGTTTTAGGGAACGTTGCTTCTCAGGCTTTTGAGCGCGTAACCTGAAGTCTGCCCGCTCGGCGGGAATGGAGATTATTGGTTAATGCCCTGTTTGAATGTATTACATTATTCCTTGCCCACCCTGGCCCAGGTATTCTGGACAGTGAACTTGTTCCTGCTCTATCATGGCTTTAATAAAATACTACTTTGCTTAAACGTGTATTGGATTAATCGCTGTGAGGGGGACCGGACAACAAGGCCTGCTACCCAGTCCTTTGAATGCAGCACGCCAGGGACCTAGCCCTGAACCTTCTGCACGCCAGCCAGATGTCCACTCCGTAAAAGAGGGCATTTGCAAGACATTGAAAAGAAGGGTTGTGGGGCCAGCCCGAAAGGCAGGTCCTGCCTCCAGTCGAGGTACCTCGGCTATCAGGTCCCCCTCGCTGATCTTGTCCCCTTCCTTCTTCTCCCAGCGGGCGATCGTCCCCATCTGCATGGTCGGGGAGAGAGCGGGCAAAGGCACCTAGAAGGGAAAGGGGTGGGCAGAAAGGGAACAGGTCATTTCCAGCGGGGCACAGGGCAGGCCCCGTAGCGACAGTGGGGCCGCTTGGGCCCCCCACCCCCATTTACTGCCAGGGGTGGATTAACCATGAAGCAGACTAAGGCAGGTGCTTAGGGCCCCAGGGCCAAAGGGGGCACCACAAAGTTGGGGAAGGGGTGAAAAGCTTAGTTTGTACAGTATATGGTGTTATCCTATGAATAAAATTTTGTATTGCTGCAACCTGCATTGTCTATCTGGGCAGACAGGTCAACCACGAAAATGGACTGGGGGTCAGTGTGGAAAGGAGGAGGGGCACCAAGATTGGCCAGTGCTGAGGGCACCCGGGAGCCTTCATCCGCCCCCAGCTACTGCCAAGGCCCCCTGACTTCCCACCCAGCCCAGACCCCCCCCCCGACTTTTAATTTTTAATTTTATTTACGGCACACATTTGGGTGTGGGGTGCCTCCCCGATTTATTTAAACCCTCCCCCCAATTTAAAAAAATCCCGGCTACGAGCCTGGCACAGGGACACCCCCCCCCCCGCACAGCCCCTTCCTCCTACACCCACTCCTGTAACTCGGGCATTTTTTCAACAGATGCTCCTTCGCTTGAGGAGGAGGAGGAGGAGGGGGCTCCAAAGAGGGCTAAGCTGGTGGCAACTTGGGCCTTGCACGGGAGCAGGATCTGGCAAGAAGAAGAAGGAGAGATTGGATTTAGACCCCATGGCCCTTCACTACCCAAAGGAGTCTCAGAGTTGCTTATACACTCCTTTCCCTTCCCCTCCCCACCACAGACACCCTGTGAGGCAGGTGGGGCTGAGAGAGCTCTTGACAGAAACGTCTCTTTTTCAAGAACAGCTCTTATCAGAGCTACAGCTTGCCCAAGGTCATCCAGCAGGTGCAAGTGGAGGAGTGGGGAATCAAACCTGGCTCTCCCAGATCAGAGTCCGCCTGCAGTTAACCAGGACACCAAACTGGGGTGGGGCGTCCCCAACCTCTGGTCAAAAGGGGTCCCGCAGTGCGGCAGGAGGAAGGGGGACCCCGGCAACGCTCCCTCTAAGCTGTGGAGTCTTGTGAGCAAAAATTCTACTCTGTGAGCCACTGACATTCAAGCTGTGAGCGAGCGATTTGGCGGCTGCATGCATTAGGTTGCTCTGGAGCCTTCCTTCCTGGGCTGAGACAAAAGTGTGTGAGCCGGAGGCTAGAAAACGGTGAGCCGGCTCACACTCAACTCAGCTCGGAGGGGACAGTGGTGACACAACCCATGCTCCCTCTGAGCCTTGGAGTCCTGTGAGCAAAAATTCTACTCTGTGAGCCACTGACATGAAAGCTGTGAGCGAGCCATTGGGCTGCTGCATCCATTCCTTTGCTCTGGAGCCTCCTCCTTCCTGGGCTGAGACAAAAGCGTGTGAGCCGGAGGCTAGAAAACTCTGAGCTGGCTCACACTCAATCAGCTCAGAGGGAACCCTGGTGCCCGGTCCCACCGGCTGTGGGAGGGGGAGAGAGAGAGAGAGGGAGGGAGGGAGGG